ACTTCTTTTGGCAAAATGGCTTCGGACACAAGATTAAAAACCACCTGATTTTCCTTAATGTTGATGCCAAATGCATCAATGACTTTTTTTACATTAGATGAAATTCTTTCGTTTGTAGATCCCGCCAGTTGCTAGTGTTGTTTGCGAAATTGTGATCCAACATTATTTTTTTCGCAAAATATTTTTGATATGGAATTTAAAGCAGGAGCAATAAGGCAAGAACTGTTTAAGCATGTTGGATTTTGTGTAACACTAATCACCCCTCCTGCTACCTTCAAAACCTAGTTTTCCTGTTCTAAGGCATGATCAGAACCAATATTACAGAAAGGAATCCTGACCTGTTGACGGTAAAAAAAATTTTAAGTTATTGCTAGGAGGTATTGTCTATTTTTTTAATTTAATCATTGTAGCAAGATACAGTGGTGAATGACGCGCATAATTATATTGATCGTGAGCAAAAAAGTAGGGAACCATTGCATTAAGCGACGTAAGATGAAGTTTCCAATGTCTTTGTCGAGATGCTCGAACAAATTGAAGCAATATTTTATACATTAACATAAAGTTACACAAATATAATCCTTGTTGAACTAATGTGTCATCAAAATTTTTGCATTTTTCTACAATAGTATTTGATAGGAAATACAATAGCATTTGCTTCCTTGTACCGACTCCTTATCAATTATTGGTGGGAGTTCATATTTTTTCATCACATCACGAATCTCTGGGTAAAGAAGCAAGAAACTATCCAAGTATAATTTGTTTGAAAATAGGAATAAAATCATGAATACCACGTTTCATATGTTTCCATCAAAAATTTGTCCAAGGGTGGTGGGACCGTAAACACCTGCTTCTATCAATATCTAATCAAGTCCAATTCCAATAATATACTTTCCAATAACTTTTAAAAATGCAATCACAATATGTAGTTTCCCAAGTCAAAAAATGAAATTTTCCTTGATCTTATTATTTTATCGTAGCTGCATGCATTTTGAATAGAGTTGAAGATCAAAGGTCACAATTGTTTTTTTACTCCCTGCGACGGCAAAGTTAATTTCCTAAACAAGCTTTAATGCAGTGAAAAAGTTGCTCTAATCAGTCGGTGTGCCTACATGTATGGGTAGACCCTGTGTTACCGTAGATGTAGGAGCATCCGATAGAAAGGATTTAAAAGCACTCCATGTAGTAATTTAAATTCTTTGTCAATCTAATTTAAAAAAGCCCAAATTTGATCAATGGTGCAAAATGAAGAAAGATTGACCAACGAATGTGGAGACTCAAAATCTTGAAAGGTTTCATTGGGTGGGTTTGGTATAGCACAACTGTAAGGTACTTTGTACGCTGTATCTTGAGCATCTTGAGCATTTGAACTATTTTGAAATGCAACACATGCGGTTCCATAAACTTCAGATTTTCCGTCAGCAGTGTCGTTCTTAAAGTCAATATTTTAATAGCAAAGTGAAAAGGCATTCCTAATTGAATATTAGGAGGTACAAATGCGCATTGATTTATTGATATTTTTTCAATAACAGCGTTTCCTAAACCTTTTTCGATCTTTTTAACACTATCATAGGAAATAGAAAGTCCAAGATATGCCAAGTAGTTCACCAGCTTCTTATTACGGGTTTCTTTATACACATGTAATCCGAGGCCGACTGAAAAAGGTGTTTCTGTAACATCTCTGAAATCATCATCCGTTTTTGAGCAATGTGAGATTTGCTTATCGCTTTTTGTTGTCTTTACAATAATTTGCGAAATGTTATCAACACGGCTATCAGTAATTTTTTTTCAACATAACACGAATCTACATTTTGTTTTGGTCCAAGTATAACCCACCTTAGCAAAGTAAGGACGTCAAAAGTATTAAAACCAGTGAAGAAAGTAAGGACTTCAGAGTATCAAAACCAGTGATATTTCCGTCAAACTTCCATTTTCTTTGCTGCAGGATTTTTTTCCGAATTATTTATTAAAATATAATTAATATCAATGTATAGAGCTTGGTTTGACATAAAAAATGAAGGGTCATTTGGCCTTTGAAGTTAAGCGGATCAAAAGTTATTGACCTTTTTGTAGTGAAAAAACGGGTAATTTTTGACAAAAGGGCTCAAGTATGGAAAATTTACTGCGAAATGGCAACGAAAATGAGAGTATTATTGACATTTGAATAACTTTTGAACCGATAATACATTTGAATTGAAATTTTCCATAATGACCAATTAACTATAAGGAAATAAAATTCCAAAATTTGTTTTTTAAAAATCTGTCGGTATTGACCAGAATCATCTTTTTACAGACCAAGGACTTTTACTAATTTATATACTTTAGGGTCATACTGACTTTTAAATAACTTTTAAAACAATAATATAGTTGACTTAAAATTTTCCATAGTGACCAACCAACTAGAAGGAAATTAAACTTCAAATTTTTTTTTTTTAAATCTGTCGTGATTGACAAGAATCATCTATTTTACAGACCGAGGGTTTTTACTAATTTATATATTTTTAGGGTCATACTGACTTTTGAATAACTTTTGAATCGTTATTACTTTTGACTTGAAATTTTTCATAGTTATTAAAAAACTATAAGAAAATAAAAAAACAAAATTTTATTTTAAAAAATCTGTCGCCATTGTCAAGAATCATCTATTTTACAGCCTGAAGGGTTTCATATTATTTTCTTATTCTTGAAGAATAAAATTTGGGGTCATATTATATTATACCATGCGAATATGCATAAAGGAATCATGGAATCCAAGAAATACATCATTTGAAAACAATTAGATAATTTACAGACTGGTCAGTGATATAATCACATAAATTACTGTTCGGTCAGTAAATTGCTGAAAATGGGCTGTTCAAACAAATTAAACATGTCAACTTTAAATAATTTGTACTTTTTTTAAAATTTCTGATATTTTCTACAACTACTACTACTACTACTACTACTACTACTACTACTACTACTACTACTACTACTACTACTACTACTACTACTACGACTACTAACACTATATAGTTCGGCAATAATATATAGAGATTTAAGTTATGATGAAACAGCTGTTATAAAAGACGCATTTGATCGCAAGCCACACTAGAATTAAATTAAAATTTTCGTGTTCTGTAAAAAATTCCCACCCAAAACCAATCTTTCAACAACTCCCCTCCTCCCTCCTTTATTAGATTCTGACTAAAATTTCACCCGCTATTTTATTTTCATTTCACCTTACCTTCACCCCTTTGTAATAAGCACGCGAAGTATACATTTATTAAACGTTGATTTAGGGTTTACACTGTTGATGACGTTTAATAAAAACAACATTAATGGTTATTAATGTACGTACATTACAAACATTTTTTAATGTATATACGTTAATTAAACGCTTACAATTTTGACTTATATTAGTCAATATTGTTAACGTTCAATTCACGTTTAATAAACGTTCAAGTAACATTATAATGCTTGAAATATAGATCTAAACTAATCTTTTTTTTTTGGTAATAGTAGCTAAACGCTTTATCCATTTTTTGACCAAAATCGATCAATTAAAAAAACAACCAAATCAAACAAAAAACAATGATGGTTTTGTGGACATAAATACATAATCCACCTGCTTTATTAGTTTGGCTGTCTTTTTTATCCGAATCTCGGAACATTTGTTGCCAATAATTCATTCCACTGTGCTTTGTATACTTTTACAATATGTGGTTTCTAAATTTTAATTTTTTTTAAACTATTTGTTAAGAAACTTTGTATTTGCTTACTAGCAAAATAAATGACTGCATTTATTTGACTTAACTGAAACAACTTCTTTGAATGCAATGTCAAAGGGCTTGTTGATGTTGATTCCTAAAGTTAGCTTTAGGGATCCCTACTCATGATCCACTCGAATATTTGGGTACTTGAAATTTTTTCTGAATAATACAGAGGTTTCAAAAAAGTAGCTAAAGTGCTTATATTACCCAGACCACTTGATAATATAAGCACTTAAAAGTAGCTCAAAAAAATAGCATTAAGTAAAAAAATATCGACCTGACAAATAGAACTAATTTTTGGAATATAATGATTCGTTTAACAAGACCTATCTTAAAAGGTCAAATTTTAAGCCACTTTTGAAATAATACTATGTTTTTCGCAACAACAACAAAAAAAGAAATTTGTACGTTATTTTTTCAATTTTATCAACTCAAACCTTTGAACAATAAAAATTTAAAATTTTTGAATTACTTAAAAATATTTAGTATTGTTAAAATATTCAAATTTGTTACTGTTTTATTTTTATTCAAAAAGCAATAAAAACCTTTGCTATTTTAGGACTTTAAACTAGGTAATTTTAATGAAAATCACTGGTTAATTTGAGCACGCTCATATTACACAAAAATGGGATTTTAAAATAAAGTCAAAACTAAATGTTTCTATGCATTGTTTTTCAAAGAAAAATGGTTGGATTTTTAGCTGACATTTTTCTTTATGAAAAAATTAATTTCATTTTTTGAACACCAAAATTTCGCGCCACATATTTATTCAAGCGTGATGATATTATTTTGACAAGTAAAAACAGCGTTTTAATTAGATCATAGCCGCTAATTACTGCATACAAATTTACGCTAATTGTACTGATTCCCGTTATCACCACATAGAGTCGATTCAAAAAAACTTTAACTTTTACTGCTTACATCTAAGAAATCTTTAAATATGTTTATATCACCGAGGTGCTTATATAACCCTAATCTAAGAGAACAACTCTAAATAACATTGAATGAAACGTTTATTGACTGTTTGTAAGTACAACCTTTATAAAATATTTCGCTTTTATAAGAGGTACATGTGTATCCGTCTGTTCGTTCAACGGGTATCTGGGCAGGGATTTTCACAATTTTCAACAGCAATATACACCCATACAGTAGCGCTGAATTATGTCATTCGAAGAAAAGCTTATATACTTGTATGAAAAAATATTAGCAGAAAAAGAACTTTTGTTATCAAAGCAATAAAAATACTTAAAGTAGACACAATACGTATCTATTTTATAACAATGAAATATAAATGTTTTAAACAATTTATAGTAATTTTGTTAAAAAAATTATAGTAATTTTTAAATTGTGACAAATATTTATATAAAATTATACTATATAATAAAAAAATAATTTCTTTTATTCTCAACCCCCCAACCCTTCAAAAAAAATTAAGAACAAATTATAAAAGCCAACATCAAATGAGTCGGTGACAGGAAAAGTTGTAACTTAATTTTTTTTACATACAGATTTTTGTTTGATTTATATCGTTTTCGATGAAAAGGTGAATTTTTTTTCATTGTAAAAAAACACCATTATTTATTGTATATAAAATAAAAATAGGATTGTATACGAAACCCTTACGTTTTTTAAAAAAATATTTACACAACTTTTCCTTTCACATTATTCAAATTATATTACAACTGAATTAATTTAATTTACTTTAGCTAATGCAACAACATTAAACTGTAAACTTTCCTTATCAAATTCCATAAACTTTTTGCAGACAATTGCTGCATCTTTTAAAAAGGTTTCTTCATTAGAACGGCCATGATTAATAGGAAAAGGCCGTCGACCATCAAGCTCATAGAGATAACCTTCTTTTTGAACCAGAGCAATAAAATGTAAATTTACACTTTCTTCACGAGAAGGAGCTAAGGTTTGGCCTTCTAAAGCACTACTATCATGGCAACTTGTAATACCTGAATCATTTTGCAACATAAGCGCTTTTTCAGAAAGTGATAAATCTTTGCTTTGCTCAATAAACGCTTTTAACAACCCTTCACATTGTAGAACTTCCATGTTATTTGCTATTGCATGAATTACACCTAGGGTGCCGCAGGCATTACTGATCGTTTGTGGCATAAAATATAAGCAAGAGGATACAAATTGACCTTCACTACGCACTTTTTCTTCTTCTTCAATTCTATTTTTTTCATAATTGCTATTAATAGGAAATAAAAGAAGTATTGCACATGCAGGGTGAGGAACCATTTCAAGCAATTCATCATCTAAACCATACACATCTACAAATTTCCATTTATCTGTATCAACACCAAGTGCTTTGATATACCGGTTCATTACATCAGGATTAGATTCCAATGGAAGCCACCTATCGCCTATCATTTTTATAGTATATTATCTAAAACTGTGCATAATATAAAACAAAACACGTAAATATAAAACCCATACTTTACATAAGTCATAGATAAATTACTTATATAAAGAAGTTTTTTAGCTAGTAAATGCATGAAATGTGTGCTAAAATAAATTCAGTGGTAAACATAAACAATAAATTCAACATCCTTTGGCCCTACTAAACTTAAACATATAAAGTATTAGTTTAAAGATAGATTATAAACAATTTTTATTTTAAAAACAGTAAATAAATACACTAGTAATAATTGAAAATAAAACACTAATGATTGCAAAATACACAACTATTTTCAAAACCCGTATTTCAACTTTAGTTCATTTCATAACAGAATAATTAATTTTATTATAATTATTGAAATTAATTTATTAGTTTTTTCAATTTATTATGTGTATGTATGTATGTATGTATGTATGTATGTATGTATGTATGTATGTATGTAAGTATGTATGTATGTATGTATGTATGTATGTATGTATGTATGTATGTATGTATGTATGTATGTATGTATGTATGTATGTATGTATGTATGTATGTATAAATGTATGTATGTATGTATGTATATATATATATATATATATATATATATATATATATATATATATATATATATATATATATATATATATATATATATATATATATATATATATATTTAAGATTTGTCATAAAGAACTTCAGTACATTTTAAAATATGAAAAGTATTTTTATTCATCTTTATCTAAAATTAAGATCAACACTGAAAAACGTTTAAAAAACCTAAAATGATTAGTTCTGCTACTCCTTGAAATGATGATAATCTTGAAATGTTGAAGTATAAAAATTTTACCAAGACCTTCATCAATAAAATATTTGAATTTCTTGAGTAAATAAAAGGAGATAGCTCCTAAAGGCATCCGTAATTTATAAGTAAGAACTTGGTTTGTGCAATTGCTAACTAAATTATTACTTCAACAAAAATGAATAAACTAAATTTTTTTAAATCTACATATTTTCATCATTTTTTTTAACATTAAAAAACCCAGATTGATTAGAGAAATATTTTGCATTTGCCTCCGCTACTCTTTTTTCAGCAGCTTTGGGATTCACAATCTCAATACCCTGCAACGGTGTAAAAGCAACACTTGATGCTGTCCCACTGACATGGCTTCGCACAGTTGACTTGCCACCATATGCTTGATTCATATTAGCCAAATTTCTCTATGAAATTAAAATATACAAAAGAAATTATAAAAAAATTATGATGGAACTTTGCTTAAAATCTAAAAAAAAAAGACAATTACCTGTAGACGCTTTGATATAGAAACCTGAGTCTTTTTATCAATTGCAGCATTTCTTACTTTACCAGAACTACTGTCCTTTGCTAAAGAACCTATTCCAAATCCAAGATGGTCTTGGAATATATCCTCTGATATTTCACCAAATGTAACTCGACTAGCTTGTCGACGCATTTCTGTAACAGCAAACTTTTCTTTCATTTTGCGTACACGCCTTCCACCTCGTTTTTGCCTTGGAGCATCATCAGGTCTAGGAAGGGCTTTTACCTCTTTTACTGGTGGTGGTTCTTGCCACTTTTCAAACTTCCTTTCAATCTCTTCTAGCAACTTTTGACCAGCTGAACCATCTAAACTTTCATGAAAACTATCTATTCGAGCTGCTAAAGTAAATTTTGCTGCTACTTGACGAGCTGCTTTCCTTCTTAGATAAGGAGGTAATGACTAAAATAATATATCATTAATAAGTATGTAAATTATATAAAATATAATAATATCATCAAAAAAAAAAGTATAATTATGACTTAAATAATACTTTATCTGGTTTTTTAAGTATTAAAATTAATAATTAAAGCATTAAAATCCAAAATACATCAAAAATATTTCATGCAAAAAGAAATAATAGATTTATAAAGGTGTAAAAATGTTCATGAACAGAAACAAGATTGGTAATTTCAGTTTTTAATTTGGTTATTTTGCAATTTTACATATGTAAATTATAACAAATGACAGTTTTACATATGACAAATGAAACAAATGTTTAGTCTTGAATAGTTATCTGGCAATGTTGGCTAGTTAATACTATTTTTTTTTTCACTCACTTCTAATGTATAAAGTAATTTAAATTTAATAAAGTAATTTAAAATTAATAAAGTAATTAAAATTAAATTTATATTTAAGTAAAGCATGACTAGTTGGTTTACAATTGAGAGGTTTGAGGTATTGTTTAACAAGTTGAGAGGTTGAGAGAGCTGCAAATAAAATTCAAACAAGTTGAAAGGTTGTAGTTAAATAGTTAAGAGTGTTTTTACAACAACAACAATAACAACAACAAAACGTAAAAAAGAGTAAAAAGAGAGAGGGAGAAAGAAAGAGGGGTGGTAATACTTAAAAATATTAATTTTCAAAATATTAATCAAATAACATTTGATTAATTTAAAAATATAACTTTTTACAATTTTAAAATGTACACTGCTACTCCTTATGATTAAATTTTTTTTTTTCAAAATTGCATTTCAAGAGCGGTGATTTTGATATTGAAAATGAAGAACATCCTGGTACTGAGAAAAAGTTTGAAGATATCGCATTGGGACCATTACTTGATGAACATCCATACCAAATACAGGAACAGCCACTTTGTACAATTAAGTTTCTTGACTTTTCCCTGACTTATTTAATTTTTCCTTGACTCAGTTGTAAATGCTTCCTAGTTTAATACCAAAGGTATTATTTAAGAAAAAAATAATATAATAATAATATATATTGTATATACTTTTTATATTCTTATACTATATAAGTTACAGGATCATAATTTAAGCTTTAGTCCTTTCTGTACCATTACTATCAAATGAAGTAAGCTTTTTAGTAGTATTTTAAAATGGAAATAAATTAAAACACTGGAGCAGATTAATTTTCAAAATTTATAAAAATAAAAACAGAGTTTAACAATAAAACAAACAGCAGTCTAATAATAGTATAAAATAATTTTTTTTTTTTTTTTTTTTTTTTTTTTTTTATTTGCATTCACTCCCAACAAGGCTGCAAGCAACCACTATTAAGTTGGGAGTTACTAGGAAAAAAAAGAACAGAGTTAGAGAGCAAGGAAACGGTTGACAGAATACTTGAAAAGTTGAAGGTTGTATGAGTCAGGAAAACATGAAGATGGGAGAGAGTTCCAAAGGATTGGAGTGCGGGGAAAAAAACTAGATGAATAAACGTTTTTAGAGCATGCAGGGACAGATACAGTAAACGAATGAGACTTAGCTGAATGACGAGTAAAACGAGAATGAATTTTAGTTGATGGAACTAGAAATGATAACTCCTTAGAGCAGTGACCATGATAGCATTTGTAGAAAAGAGAAAGAGATGCAACTTTACGACGATGGGATAGAGGCTCAAGCTTAGCAGATAGTCCAGGTCCAACAACATTAACAATGCATTTTTGGACCTTGTCAAGAAGAGAAAGTGAATCGTTAGAAGAACCAGCCTAAATATGACAACAGTATTCCATACAGGGACGAATAAGAGATTTGTAGAGGTAGAGAATGGAATCAGAAGTAAGGAAATGGCGAGCACGATAAAGAGAAGCAACCTTAGCAAAAGCTAATTTAGCAATTGATTGTATATATGGTTTCCATGAAAGGTCAGTAGTAAGCGATAATCCAAGAAGACGTAAAGAGGAGGACTCAGTAAGAGGATTGCCATTCATTAATATAGGAATGTTGACCATATTACGGTAGTTGTTTGCAGTAAACAACTAGGTTTTGTTAGAGTTGAAATTCACAAGCCACTGTGAACCCCAATCTTTTACTGAAGTGAGATCGGATTCAAGATCAGCTGCTTGTTCTAGGCAATCGAAAAGAGAAGACTTTTTGTCAAGACAGGAGTATAAAGTTGAGTCACCAGCAAAAAGAGCTACTTTAGATGAAAGGTTGTCAGGAAGATCGTTTATGTAGATAATAAACAAAACAGGGCCCAGGATGGAACCTTGGGGAACCCCAGAAGTTACTGGAAATAAAGAAGAGTGTTGGCCTTCAAGGATGACTTTAATAAACAGGTTAGAAAGAAATGATTTGATAATCTCAAAAACTTTCCCAGAAACACCATATGAAGCAAGCTTATGGAGAAGACCAGCATGCCAAACTTTGTCGAAAGCTTTAGATATGTCGAGAGCAATAGCCCTAGGCTCACCGCTTCCATCTAATGCACGATAAAATCTTTCAGTTATTGCAGTTAGCAAGACGGCCATAGAGCGAGAGGATCGAAAACCGTATTGATTGTCTGTCAGTAGTTTATTTGACTCAAGATGAGATGTGAGGAACTTGTTGATCAAAGACTCAAAGACCTTGCTAATAACAGAAAGAAGACTGATCGGACGATAATTGGAGGGGTCAGAATTTTCTCCAGAGTTTTTGAATATTGGAACCACAGATGCCATTTTCCAACAAGCAGGAAAACAAGACTCAGTAAAACACTTGTTAATAGTTTAGAGAGAATTAAAGAAAGTTCAGGAGAACAATTCTGCAAGACTGTGACAGGAATGTTGTCTGGACCACAAGCTGTAGACGAGTTTAATTGAGATATGACTTTAGCAACAGAAGCTGGAGTGATTTGAATGTCTAACAATGGGTCAACCTGTTTGACTGGAATGGAAGGAAGAGAATGTCCATAAGATTTAAGAGTGGAATTAGAAGAAAAGTTCTTTGCAAATAGTTCTGTCTTATCCTTGGGAGAGGTAATAAGATCAGTCCCATGAATGAGAGATGGAATGTTAGATCTACCCTTGTTAATAATGCTGTTGAAGATTTTCCAAAAGTCTTTAGAACCTAACTTCTGTGATAAGATGCGAGATTTAGTGAACTGAGAATAATGGAGTTTAGCATCAGAAAGCACCTTTTTACATCGATTTCTTGCAATAATAAATAGCCGTTTGTTCTCAAGAGAGTTGTTCTTTTGAAAAAGATGAAAAAAATAATTACAATTGGATATAGGAGCCGCACAAGAACGAGAAAACTATGGAGTAGAATGAGGCTTGACTTGAAACCGACAAGAAGGAATAAAAGCTTCCATTCCAGCCTGAATCCAGGAGGTTACATAGGAGGCGCATTTATCAGCTGAGAGAGAAAAAACATCAGCCCAAGGACTATCATGAAGAAAATCACGAAAAGAATCCCAGTCAGCTTTAGGGTAGTAGTAGGGTGGTGCGATGATAAGGTGAGCCCAAAAAAGAAGTACGAGAAGAAAGATTTATAGAGATCATTGCATGGTCAGAACCACCTAAGGGAGAAAAGGGAGAAACTGAACATAGCTAGGGTCAGAGACAAGACATAAGTCAAGGAGTGAAGGTAAATGATTAGGGTTGTCAGGAAAACGAGTCACAAAGTTAACTATCTGAGTAAGATATTGAGAAACACAGAAGTTAAAGGCTTTAGTGCCAGCAGGATCAGTGGTGTTAGAGCCAAGCCATTCAGTGTGATAGGCATTAAAATCACCAACAACAACAATATTGGCAGAGGGGTAAAGAGAGAGGCCATGGTCAATTTGATCAGAGATAACATCTAAAAGAGTGCAATCATGGGAAGAAGGAGAACGATAAAGAACAAAGAGAAAGGTGATAGTGAAGAGGTGCTAGGCGAAAGCACATAAAAGAATGGTCAAAGGATTCGAACCTGATTTCACGACAAATAGGGGAATTAATGCGTATGTATACCCCTAAACCTAGCATGTGACTATTGGAGTCTTTACGAATCAAAGGATAGTACCCATCAACACTGACATCTAAAGAAGGAATTGCAGAATTTAAATTTGTTTCACTGAGTGCAAGCAAGTCTGGTGAATTTTGCAGGAGGTAAGACTCAACCGACGGAAAGTTGCTTCGCAGACCGCGAATATTTGTAAAAGATATATTAAAACATTTAGGCGGTGGGGAAGGTTTAAAATTTTTGGTTACTTTGGTCATGATTTGGGTTTAATGAGAACTTGACTCATTCATAGATAGAGCACAGCCTCCTAATCAATGAGCTATGCAGTTGCCTCAGTCCTGTTAATTAACCCTAAGCCGTGACAAAGGGCTCCTTTTGTGGCCTTGACAATGACCTGACCTGGAGTAGTTAAAAGGAGTTACTTCCCGCAACAGTACTTTGAGAAAACCAGGCATGACATTTTGGAAGTACATTAGGAAAAACACTGCATCAAACAAAATACAGGAGTCTAAGGTGAGTGTAGGTTTTGTAGTTAGAGTAAGTAGCTAGTTACTGAGCTCACGCTGCATCAGGGAATAAACAGAATACAAACAAACATAAATCAACTTACGGGTGAGCGAACACCACGCCAGAGGTTCAGACAGAACACAAACATACATAAAAAACTTAAAGTAACTTACGGGTGAGTGAAAACCGCGCCAGAGATTCAGACAGAACACAAACATACATAAAAAACATAAAGTAACTTAGGGGTGAGCGAACACCGCGCCAGAGGTTCAGACAGAACACAAACATACATATAAAGTAGATTACAGGTGAGCTAATACAGTAACTAAGGCACCTCCAACTATTTAAAAAAATATATATATATTACTATAGGCATGACTGAATAAAATATAAGATAGTACTGATGACAGGAAGCACACTCCCTCCAGCCTTTGCTTAGAAAGCAAATCCTACAAAGCAGCAGAATATGGAACCGGTTGAACTGGGTTACATGTTACCAGTAGCAGGATGATCATGAAGACCATACTCCTGGCCTGACATAAATATGCATATGCCAAAAAATATGCAATATATTTGGTTCTGTTTGCCAATGTTCTTTTGGAAATTTTGATAGCAAATGAATAAATTTTCTTGAAAATTGACAAAAAAGCAAAGGTTTAATCTAACTTTACAAATATATATATATATATATATATATATATATATATATATATATATATATATATATATATATATATATATATATATATATATCAGTTATTATAAGTTAAAAAAAATAAACATTTTATTTTGTTTTTGGTTTTTAAAAACTTTAATACTTCGAAAAATTATCTTTAAATTTAAAAAAGTAGTTTAAATCTTTTTAAACAAAAATAATGTAAATCTGTTTAGTCCATTTTGCGTGATTTTTAACTCTAGTTCAATCTCATATATATCTCCCTGATGATATTGATTTAACTTTTTTAGCATTTAATTCCTTAATTTTCTGCAAAGCTAATTTTTATCAATACAGCCTTATTTTTAATGCCGTTTTTCTTCTCTTTTTCATTTTAATGAATCTTTGTAGTTTGAATGGGACATGTTTACACTTTTGATTATTGAATTTGTTATTTTCACATTGGTAACTCCACCAACGCGGTGAATTCCATCATAAACTTGTTTTTAGGCAACTAAAGAGGTTTCATGCAAATTTTCAACAAGAACATCTGAATTAATAGAAAACCCACTTTTAACCTGTGCATAACCATGTGACAAAGTAAAGACAATTTTGGATACTTCAAATAAGTTAATAAAACTCTGGCTTATAAAAGGGGTTTAAAAAAATCCAACATATCTTTATAAACCTTGTAATTTGTGAATTCTAATCTATGGATGCCTTTGCAAGATCACATAAATCTTGATACTGATTATTGACCTTATCAGCTATTGTAGCATAAATCCATTTAGATTCATGAAGAATTGTGAGTAAATAAGTCATTCTGTTTTTCCGAAATTAGAACATATAATGGGGTTTAAAGCTAAGATAGTTCTTCTAATTTTTTATTTTAAAGGACTTCTTTCTCTCAGTTTATCAACAACTCCAATGTAAAACTGAATACAATCAGTTTGAAACTGTAACTTCTGACATTCACTTATTTTTATTTTACCAAGTATAGAAGAAATTGCAATACCAATTTTTACTTCTTTTTGGTGACACTTGTGTGCAGTTGAGTCTATTTTCATTAGCTTTATAAAAGATTTTACTCCCTCTAAAAGTTCTTTTTTAACAAAGTTTTGCATGAGAGATCTCATTAGCTTTTCAAGTTCTTGTTATAAGAATGGTGCTAATGGAGAATCTGACTGAAAAAGTCTTAAGAACAGCAATTGAAACCAAATATTGAAAAAAAGCAATATTAGTAGGCATTAGAAGATCATTGACAGCACCAGTAACATGTTTACAGCATAATTAATAGGTAGTTTAGACTTCATGACATACAATTTCATATTATCATAAATATCTAAAGCCCTTTGACATACAGATAAATTTTCATCCCATCTTGTTGAACAAAATTTCAGAGGAACTTATTACTCCCACAAATAGTTTGAAAATCTGCCGTACAAGCAGGCCTATCATGAAAAAAAGTATAAAAACTTCTGCGTACTGCATTAACATTCCATTTCACCTTTTTATGACCTGTTTGAAATGCACTATGTAAGCCACATGATCCCATTGTAATTGATCCCAACATGTAAGCCACATGATCCACATTGATCCCAACATGTAAGCCACATGATCCCATTTCAAGAATAGATGTTTCAAACTGTTTACCAAGTTTATCATTAAGAATATCAAAAATATTTCAGTTTCTAGGCCCTTGAAACAACTGGGAATGATTCCAAAGCAAGAAAATTAGGTTGCTGTATGAGTTGAAAGTGTGGGACAACAAAAGCTGATTTTTTACCTACAAACAGCTGCCTGTGCAACAACAAAAAAAGTTTTCTGTATTAAAAAAACCTGGTAACCATCAACATTTATCGGAGAAGATTTAAGTGGTTTGGATAACAGCATGTAGAGAGCATGCAGCTTCTGGAGAAAAATATAGAGGTAGAAATTAGATTTTTTATATTAGAGAAACAGCATAAAAGGGGAATGCTTAAATTTAATAGTGATAATGATGATGATCATGATGATGATCATGTTGATTATGTTTATATATAAATACGCGTTCATATATAAATATATATAAAATATAACATGATTTTCAAATTAAAAAAGTATACTTTAGGATGTATCAATATTTATGCAGCCCCAGTCACAAACATGTCAACTGGTATTTTTTATCAAACCCTGTCCCAGTCTTGGTCAAATTTCAGCCCTGGTCACTTATTAAGTAAGCCCCAGTCACTTATTAAGTAAGTCCCTTTTTTGAGTTTTTGAAGTGTGTGTGGTTTTTTTTTCTAATTTAAAGGTTTACAAAAATAAATCGTATAGGCATATAATGCCTGTTGACAATGTCAGTTGCAAGGTTAACAATGTCAGTATTTATATAAACTAATATAAAAAGAAATGCATATTAGTCATTGAAACACCATTTGTTTTTGAGATGGTTGTCAAGAAGCATCTTAGTGAAAAGTTTTTGTCAAGAAACATTTTAGTGAAAGTTTTTGCCTTTAAAAACGTAGGTATTGCCTTTACACCCATCCCTCACTTTTCTATGCTTATAAATAGTGTATGCCATATGCTAATAGATAAAAAAAATTATCAGCTCTATTTCAGTAACAAATTAAAAAATAATAACTAATGTCTAAAAAGATTAAAATGTAAAATATTCAAAACTTACCAAACTAACACTTATTTGAAATTAGTTTATAAATTATTGAGTAAAGTATAAAGTATTGAAAAAAAAAACAAAAAAAAAACTCACACACCCTATGGCCACACTGATAAAGTATGATTTCTTTACATTTCTCCCAAGTACTGGATAAAAGTAAATATAACTCTCAATTACGGTCAAAAATACTAAATTGTTATATTTTCAACACGAAAAATTAATCAATTATTTGTAAATTGGTTGGTTAACAATACATAGCTTTTTTTGTTGAGGCCGCATAATTTTTGTTAAAAGAGACATTTTTTACCATAAAAGTCTCTTTCGACTATGAGATAAGGATATATATATATATATATATATATATATATATATATATATATATATATATATATATATATATATATATATATATATAATAAAATTATGATATATAATATAAATTACTAATAGTATAATAAAAAATACTACCTGAACAATATCACTATAATAGACAAATCCTGTGTGAGGCATTACTTGAGCAGAAGCCATAGAAAAACCAGCTAAAGTTTTTTTTTGTGAGCCTAATAGCAAAATATTGCAAGATGGCATTTTTGATAGATTTGTTAGTCCTCCTGCTAGTCCCATCATTTTAGCCGCAGTTGATGCTCCAACTATAACAGAAACATTTGGAGCAATGAATGACATGCGTGACTCTACATATTGAAATATTTTAAGCTTTGCATTGACTAAATCCATACTCATTTGACAGGCCTCCATGATATACTCAAGTTCTTCATTTTCAATTTTAATGCCTTGAGTGGTTGCTGCAGTAACACTTAAAACCATACGAGTTGCAGGTTGTAAAAAATCCATGTTATCAATTTTTGTTGGGTTCAAGTCATTTTGCAAAACTTGGATTGTTTGAATATATTCTAAAGCATTAGGGACAAGCGAATCAAGTTCAGGAAAACGTTTAGAATAATGATCTCTACAATACTTATTAATAATACTCATTTCATTTTCAATTTCTACAGTTAAATTATTTGCTTTAACAATAAGTTGATATTCAGGATCTTGTTCTACTGGTCCAAAAACTGTATTCCGTGATCTTGGGTTTTCTAAGAAATTATCCATATCTTTAAGTGTTGTTTGTAACTCTTTACTATCTCTAAGTTTTGCTATATTACGGACAGACTGATTTGCTATATCCATTGGCTCACTTTCCATTTCATGAACTTCCTCAATTCCATCTTCACCTTCGTCTTCATCAACATCATCATCCTCTATGGCATTTAAGTCAGCAAGAAGCTCATCTGCTAAAGACATTTTCAAGTGCTTTTCTAATGCATATAATATATTAATAATTTAACTTTGAGAATTAAACTGATATTTTAATTTTTGTATAACAAAATTCTTTTAAATAATAATATAAAACTGTATCATTATTTTCAGTTTCCAATCTAGGTTCAAATCAAAGCAATATAATAAGTTGGGTCACTTAACCCTTTTAATACCCATGACCTGATCTGCAGGTCATCACATTTTTTAATAAAAGTTACCAAACTGAAAGCAAGAAACAATTAAATTTTTTTTTAATCTGTCATTTTTTCTGACAAAAAAATTTTTGTTTGTGAATTTCCGACAAGTAGTTTTTACTTTATAGCTTTAAAACTGATCATATTAATTTATAACCAGTCATTTGACTATTTTTTACAGGTAGTGAAAGGGTTAACTAATCATACCTTAAACTGAATCAAAAATTTTAAATTCAATTTTAAACATTTTCAAGCAGTGTTAATATTGCTTTATATTCGAACTAGTAAGTAAACTTTTAATAAAATTTTGTCTTGGTATTGGCCTACCAAAAAAAGTATCAAAAAAGTTTTTATTTTCCACATGCAACATGAAACATATTTACCTCTGGTTTATGCTATATTTTTCTGCAAAAACTTTTAAGTTAAATGTTCAATTAAATTGTTTAATTTTAATTCAAGTTTTTAAAATTATCAAAAATTAATTTTTGTGAAATCTTTCTTGTAAATTTTAGTAAAAATTCATTATCAGTAAAGTATATGCAGTATATGCAGCTGATTGTTGATACTAATTGAGTTTTTATATAATTTTTAAGCTGCTTACTATAATATATGTTTTAAATTTTATTGTATTATTCAAAAAAAAAACAACTACAAATTTAAAAAATTTGAAAATCTCAAATCAAATTACAATATATATATATATATATATATATATATATATATATATATATATATATATATATATATATATATATATATATATATATATATATATATGTATATATATATATATATATATATATATATATATATATATATATATATATATATAAATATATATGTATATATATATATATATATATATATATATATATATATATATATATATATATATATATATATATAAAAATATATATATATATATATATATATATATATGCAAAAATTTATAAACAATATATTTCTTAAAATTTATAAACAGGGCTGTGGAGTCGGAGTTGCGACAATTTTAGCAGAGTCGGAATCGCTAAAAAATATCGCGACTCCGACTCCGATAGTAATATTTCTTGGTATTGCACGTGTATGTACAAAACATTCAATTAACCTAATGTTCATACTAAACTTCAAAGAACATTGTATAAATTTGTCAAAAAAAAAATTTCAACTTATCGCGCAATATTTTTTAAAGAATTCAAAGAATTTTTCAAAAATATTGCTTTGGAGTTGGAGTCAGAGTTGGAGTCAGAGTTGTACTCAAAAAATTTCAACAACTGGAGTCGGGGTCGAAGTCGTTACTTTTTTTTTACGACTCCACACCCCTGTTTATAAACAAACAATTATATAAAAATACATTAATGTCAAGTAGAAATAAACAAAGAACTAAAAGCGATAAAAATTTACATAAACCTTTTTCTTATTTGTTATATGGTAATAAAATTGCCATAAGATATAATAATTTTCTTATTTGTCAAATAATCAAACATGATCATTTGGGATATAATATAATATATAAATATATAATATATATAAATGTTTTACAAATTTGACAAAAAAGTGTAACTTAATGTTTTAAAATAAAGTTTTAATTTATTTTTTGAATATAATACTATGAAATTGTCATAAAAACTATTAAAAAAATATACTAAATATGTCTAAATTTATAATTAATATTTTAGCCACAAAATTTTCTTTTTAACGCAATATTTTTATAAATATAATTCTATTCCTTTGCTGAAAAAAGCACTTACCAAATTACTTCAAAAAACTAGTAAATTATTGTTAATCAAAAGAAATGCCAAACAAATGAGTCATTCAAAACCAATCTTGTGTTCTAGGTGCACAACATATATTTAATATTCAAGCACTTTGGTATATAAGCAATATCCAAACATGTGGAACTCCCTAATTTTATTCAAGCCATCAGCCAACTAGCATGACTTTGACTTTTGTTATTGAAAGCAATTATTACAAGTAACTAAGTACCAAGCAAAAAAACTTTAGGATCGAAATGATATTCAAAAAGAAGGTTAACATCACTCAAAAGAAAAGTAAAATTATTTCAATGATAATAAATATTATCAAAAAATGTCTAAAACAAATTTCCATTTTATAGTTAAATAATTATATTTTTAATAAATTTTTTTAAAACTCCCAATGATAAAAAAATTTATAGCTATTTTAATGCAATAGCAATTTCAAACTATTCCTAAACTTTTATTTAATTTCCTACCTACTCATATTTAAAGTATCATTATTTTTCTGCTTTTTAAATAACTATATCTTTAGCAGCATAATCTATGCACAGATCGGTAATTTTTCATTAATCTCAAGAAGTATTGATTTATTACATGTAACCTTAAAAAATGCATAAAACTGCCAACCAATTTTAACTGATTTGTAACAACAATTATAAGTAAAAAGCATGAAAAAATTTATAACTTAAATTATCTATATTGCGTTTTTAATTTTAATTCAAGATTTAATTCAAAAAATTTAACACTTTTTTTAGACAAATTTAAAAAAGGTAAAATTAAAATTGTTAAATTGTGCTTTACATCCTTTCAAAAATTACTTGAAGTATTTCAACTCCATAGCTTAGATTATCTTGTCAGATATCTGGAAAAGTTAATTTGATTTGTGACAAAAAAATAAAAATAATAATAAATAAACGTAACATGCTTTAAACATGCAGAGTATTAACCACAGCATTTTTTAGGATGATCCGATAGTTGATTAGCGATTTCGAAGAAAACGCAGGCATAAAAAGTTTTTGTTAGCAATGCGCATGCGAATGTTTTAAATTCAAAAAATCCATTTTGATGAATAAAGTTTGACGAATCTCCGAGTGATTTTGAATTGCTGAATTAGATTGCCCAGATTTCTGCGGTCTTCAAGAGTCGTTAAACCTAATATTTGGAATATTTTTTTTATTTGTGTCTATTTAGGTACTCCCAGAAGTCCTTACGGTCTTATCATAGAGCACCGTGGGAGAGCATTTAACAGAAAGTTCACGCCTTCTTCCAAGCTTCCAAGCAGCTGCACAATTTTTCAAGATGCGTGGATGAACACCGTCGCAACCCATTGATTTAGTTTCAACCAGATCTTTAAGGCGTTTTTCAACCTCTTTGACTGTTATATCACTTTCAAGTAGAGTACATTTGAATTTTGTTTTCTTGTCAAACTTTGGCATAGTACCTTCAGGTTCAACATTGAATACCGACTGAAAAAAGTTTTCAGTTGTAGTAGATCCGTCTGGCATTCTGATGCATCTGATACAATCTTGACGTGTTCCTTATTTCGCACGTGTGCATGAAGAAGTTTTGGATTGGTTTTTGATTTTAATTCAAATTTAATGTTAATACATTTTGAGCACTTTTGTACTTTTTTTCAAAGTAATTCTTTACATAGTGAAAATCAAAGACGAAAATGTAACGAAAGTAAAAGTTAAAGTACATAATAAAAAAAGTAACTCGTGACAAGACAAAGTATCGATAAAAGCAATGAAGTATTATAACGAAGTAATTGTACTTCGTTACAACGCTGCCTTGCTAATGTTGATTTCTTAATCTACTTACCGTTGATAAATTTTTTTGTCTATGAAAAAGTCTGAAATAAATGCCAAAAATTCGCAACAACTATTATAGTTGCATTTATGTTAAGCCGATTGTTTTTTTGTATACATTTGCCGACTGCTATCAATAAATCCAATTTTGTCGACTTGAATACAACTTTAGTTGGGTGGCGTAGGGGGTTAAACTCCGTCTACTTTCTCCTCTCGGGTGCCCCTGTATATATATACACGGCTACCCTGAAGGTGACCTAGACCTTATATCATATCCCATGAAATTTTTCTTTTGATTTTAAAAGCAGTCCATGTGCACATTCTAAAACTATCAAAAATTAAATTATTTTTTTGTAACTTTTTGAGAAAACTAATTTATAAGACTTGTTTTAACCAGAGGTTAATACCCCTCTGACTCACCCTAAGACCCCTGCGAGTGGATCAAATAGTTGTATATAATATGTTTGGTTGTTTGACCTATTGGATTGACTCTTTGAGGAACGTATTTAGAAATAACTTCTGAAAACAATTTGGGCTTTCTATTTAGAACATCGGCTAATTTATCACTTTTTAAAAGTTAGCTATCTTTTTTTCATCAATAGAGGGTAATTACCCTCATAGTTTAGTTTTGGCGGTATTAATACCGCCAAAACTAAAGTTTTGTGAACACTAGTTTACTTGAAATCTTTACATCCATACTCATCAGAATATTTCACTATTTTTTTTTCACTTGAACGTGTTTCTAGCTCTGACTTTAATGCAATTGATAAGGTAATCTTTAGATAGCCTTGCCCTCCATCTACCCTAATCTTAACATCATTATATTCAATTCAACATAATCTTAACATTCTCTTGTTCAAGAGATCTATGTTATAAAACTGTTGCAACAAACTCATCAACATTATTGCTAATTACACCAGGAATATTTCTTTCAATACACTAAGTAATAACAAAACAACTTTAAGTCTAATGATTTATATATATATATATATATATATATATATATATATATATATATATATATATAAGAAAAAAACAGTGTTCTGCAAGAGAGAAAAAAAAGTTATTTAGACATTCAAGTGGAGAAAAAATTCCTTCTATATCATGTAATCATGTTTCAGGTTACTGCAAAGTGAGTTTTTTTGATTTTATCGACCTTCGTATGTTGAAATTTAAATATTTGCCCTCTGATTTAAATGTAAAACGGATGTACCAACTTTTTTTGGATAAAAACAATACTTATACTGTAGGCTACCATTATTATTATGGGGTATTTATGAACCGTTTCAATTTTTGGATACCCAGCAACAGATACATGCTCTACATGTCAAACATATAAATTGGCTGTGGAAAACCAAAATGTTATGGATGACCAAAAAAAATTAAAAACTGCTCTTTTCATTCTTCATCAAAGGAAAGCCAGAAAATTTTATAGTCTTCTTAATGATATTCATCCCAATGAGATCACTATCTGTTTTGACATGATGGAGAACCTTGTACTACCAAAATTATCAATTGGAGAAGCCTACTATTCTAGGCAGCTTTATTTTTTTATGTCCTTAGTGTTTTTATTCATAAAGGTGATAAGTCTCAGTCTGTTAACGATATATATTTTTTTACTTGGATGGAGTGTGAGAATAGGAAATATTCAAATATGTTCAGCTATAGAACATCTACTTCAAAAATGTTTTAAAAGATAAATGTTTCAAAGCCTCGTCACTTTGGTTGTTTTCTGATGCATGCTATGGTCAGAACAAAAACATTAATATGACATGTATGCTTCTTGCTCTAAGAAAACAATATTTTAATAAACTGCAGATTACACATACTTTTCCAGAACGAGTTCACTCATATCTGCCAGCTGATCGTGTGTTTGGTCGAGTTCAGCTAGATATTAAAAAAAGAGACCAAATTTTTGAGCCTAATGAAAACATACACATACTTAGCCGGCATGGAAAAGTCATGGTTTATGGGCAGGATTGGTCTGCACTCGACTTCAAATCAGAAGTTAGAAAGTTTGTCATGAACAAAAAAACATTTAAAACCAGTGAAGCAAAAGAACTTGGTATTAATTCAGACAAGCTAAAAGTAGTTGCATTTAGTTACCATTCTAAGCTAAAATTACACAGTATCCTTAAAAAGGGAAGAAATGGGAAACATTTAGACCGTTAGAAACGTTTGGAATTAAATAACTGTGTTAAACTTGTTAAAAAAGACGATGTTTTTCGTCTTCTCAATCTTGTAGGAGTAGAAGGCATAATACTTACTATGTATAAAACACTTCTCTGTAATGCCACTGAAGATGATACTAACCTTAGTGAAGAAGATAGTTCATAATTTGATTTAATTAGCTTTTAGCTGTGAATTTTGTAAACATGTTTTAGTTAAGATACAAATATTTTAAAAAATCTCCAGCATAACATGATTTATTTTGCTGTTTTTTTAATTTATGTTATTGAATACAAGAATACAATAGTCATTAACATCTTATATATTTTTATAGTTGCACTTGTGAATTGTTTAAAAAAAGTTGCTGATTTATATCAAAGGAGAACAAGATTTTAAGGTAGATCTTAGAATGCTTAAGAAAATAATATGTTTCATTAATAAATATATTTTATTAATGAAATGGATATAAAGCATTTTGTTTATAAATAATACTTGGATATACAGCGTTTTGAAACAAAACAAAAATAACCACTGAAAATATACATTGATTTCATAAAGTTTGATTTCAGCATATATTGTAGTCTTGTTAATAAAGTACATGTTTAACTAAATCAATAATTACTTATTTCAAAATACTTAATTTCTTTGTGCAGGAGAAAAGTTCGATTTACTCAAAACCCAAAAAATGGATTTACAGCGTTTTGAAAATGAGCTCTTCATATATATATATATATATATATATATATATATATATATATATATATATATATATATATATATATATATATATATATATATATATATATATATATATATATATATATATATATATATATATATATATATATATATATATATATATATATATATATATATATATATATATATATATATATATATATATATATATATATATATATATATATATATATATGACATTGTTAATCTATATACTAGTATTCCACACAATCGGCAAATTATTGGAACAGCCATGGGTACGAATTTCGCTCTAGATTATGCATGCCTAACAATTGGATATTTAGAAGAAACAAGACTATTTCCTAAGATTTTACCTAAATACTTTTCCATTAAAAATGTGAATGACATACAGGAATTTTATTATAGATATATTGATAATGGTTTCTTAATCTGGCCAAAACATTTAGATATCGTTTTTATCGTATTCGAATGTTCATACTATTCAGTTATCAAAGCTTTACTATTGAGAGAGAAACTGAAATCAAAATTTACCTGAAAAGTTAACTATTTTACTATTGATTAAGTTTACATAATAAAAAAGTTAAAAATATAACTCTAAATTACTTTATAATTTACTCTCATCTATGTAAACGCTCTTGGCGACAATAAATGCTTTACATATTCTTGGCATTCTACATAAAAACTTCTCCAATTTGTCAAGTTCAATTTGATGCCATTCACTATTAAGTTTTTTCCAAACATCCTTTGCTCCATTAAGCATTAGTTTTTTACATATCTTTTTAGTTCATCCCATAAAAATTTGATAGGAGCGAGATCTGGTAGTTTGGAAAACCAAATCATTCTATTTAATACTTGATCATTATTTAACTCACTCAAGTAGTTTTGAAGAATGCTTTGGACGGTTATATTCTTAAAAAATGAATAGCTCTTAAACAATTCAACTTCCAAAAGTAGAGCATGACTTTTTTAAATATTCTAATGCATTTCTTTTGTCATTATTTCCTCTATTTTTACAATGTAACCGGTGTATTTTCACAAAGCAGCCCCAAACAGTAACACTACCCCGAATATGTTTCACAATCGGAAACAATCATTGTTTTATCAACCATTCACCGGCTTTTCTTTGGACGAACAATTTTTTCTAGGAACCAAAGATTTATAACTTTGACTTGTCCAGGGCCAGAAATAGTGGGTGTGTGGGAGGTGTGACACCTCCTCTTCTCCCCAAACACTAAATACTACTTGGCAATAATGAGTTGAGTTACCTAAGTTGGTAATTCAAAATGATTTACTTTAAAAAATGATATTTTATACATTATATTTATACTTCAGTTTTTGCTATGAATAATAACAAATGGTTTAAAACCGTTTCAATTATAGAATGTTGGTCAGTACCTAACAACATTTTGTTGGTAGGTACTGACCAACATTCAACTTCTGCAGTTTTTACTTTAGAAGTAAAAACTGCAATCAACTTCTGCAGTTTTTACTTTAGAAGTAAAAACTGCAGAAGTTGATTAAAAAATGCGGTAGTGGTGTAGTGGTAGAGCGCTCGCTTCATAAACGAGTCGATCCCCACCACGTCCCTGGTAGTACCGCGCTCAACTCGTTTCTCCGCGCAGCGGCCTTGTTCGTCAAGGTTCGTGTTTCGGAGTTATAGAGTTGAGAGAGGGTTATAGCCACAAATAAGTAGCCTCCTCGTCTGTAGTAGCCGTCTCGGCCTTGAGGAGGTGAATTAAAATTAAAAAAAAAAAAAAAAAAGAGTAGTAAAAACAGATGATTTGAATACATTTAAATCCGGTTTGAAGTAAAGTATAGTCAGATAAAGATGTGGCTATATTGTCTGTTACTGATTCATTTAGCTTTAACTAGTTTATATAGCTGTTTCAAATGTTTTCTGAACAACTTTACTTAAGTGCAGGTTTATTTTGTTAGAAGTTACAATGAGGTTAAAACAAAAAAAAATAAAATTGAAAAATCATAAATGTAATAGCTTACTTGACGATGGTTATAAAAAAAACATATATGATATGTATGTATGTATGATATAAATCATATAGTAGATTGTTTGGAAAAATAAATGGTACATAATAAAAATTATCTGATCTTCTTAATCGCTTAATTCAATTTATACCATGCCAGGCTCATAGTATTACTACATTCATTAAACACCACTGCGGTACCAGTATTATAGTTAAATTAGATTTTCTGCGTAAAAATAATAATTTTTTTTATTCATGTACAAAGAAATATAGACATTTACAAAAAAATTTATCATTGATAAAGTCTTTACAAATCCGTAATTTATGTAAAATAATATTTTATTTTAATTGCTTCTTAATATTAGCAAAAATATGTTAGTTGATTTTAAAATATTTTTTGAAAATGGCATCAGTGAAACAAAGAAAAATCAATCTTTAACTAAATTAAGAATCGATTCTCTGGTTTAAGAAATACTCAAATTGATTCTCAAGTTATATATAATATAAGTTATATATAAGAGAAAAAAAAAAAACGTTTTTTGACGTCATAAATAAGAAGCTTTAACTGAGAACTAATGATCGACATTTTTTATACTCATATCCCCCCCTTTCAAAAAAATAGACACATGTTCGTGCCGGCATGTTGTTAGCGATTGGTTCAATTCTAATAAAATTCAAGTGCTTCCATGGCCTGCCAATAGTCCAGACTTTAATCCAATAGAGAATTTATGGTCGTGGCTTGATCACAAGCTTGGTAAAGAACAACTTTACAATTTGGACTCTTCTTTCTCTCATTATTTGAATAATGTGCCAGATGAAGTAATCAAAACTTTAATGAATTCAATGCCAGAACGAGTACAAGAGTGCTTGAAAACAAATGGGGGAACAACACGTTTCTAAATTATTTTTTTATTGCTTTTTGAAATATTTTTAAAACTGGTCTTTAAATTTTGTCCAATTTTTTTTTCCATTTATATTTTTTACTAATCAGTTTTTTTAATTTTTTAACATTATTTTGTAAAAAAATTATAAATTCTTTTATAATAAATATAAAATACAATAAAAATTCTTTCTAAAAATGTTTTTGTTTTTTTGATATCTTTTTCCAAAATAAAATTATACTAAGGTTAAAAATAAATGTATATTGATACCAGACATGACTTATAGTTGAAATATTGATGATATTGGGGATCCGTTAAATATTTAAGTTTCTTGAGGCACCTAATGATTAATAAAGCAAACTTCAAACCATGAATATTTATAAAATTAAAATCATTTAACAGTCGAAAATCTAAAATAAAACAGTAGATTGTATAGTATTAAAAGGTACATTTAAAAATATTCAATCAATAGTAGGCATGAATCAAAACCTGATAATTTTTAAAACCTTTTAACAAAAAGGCTCTTTTTTAACCAAGTCAAAGACTTGCTTTTATTCCTTGAATAAGTCGAGGTATTATTTCTGAAGTTTTTGAGCCTAGTGGTTAAAAATCTAGAAGCAATTTTTCAAAAAGAAGTAGTTGCTCTTAAAAATTTAATAGTTAAAACCTCTTTGAAAACTTACATCCAGTTTAAATTAGTCATATATATCCCTATGTAACGCGTTCAGAATTTAAGATTTTTGCCGTACCGCCATCTTGCGATACGTCAAGTCACGGATCTAATTATATTTTACGTCATTAGCTGAACACCAATTTAAACACGTAGTTTATTAACTTTATGACTTTTATCAAAGTAAAATTTATCAAAATACTATTATATTATCTAAATTATCTATTAACTCAAAAATAAAAAATTATAAAAGTATTTTTTTTTTAATTATTGGAGTTATTTGGACGTAAGTGTATTTGCAATTGTCTCTAATCCGTTCAGAAAATATGTACGCCTGCGACGTAACTTCTGTAATTTCAAAATTCATTAATTCATCGAAATCCATTTGATCTTTTTTAAATTGTTTTTTGAGCTGCTTTTGTTTGAAAAAAATGTACTTGCTGCGTTAAAAAAAAAAAAAATTACTTGTAATAAAAAAACAATGAAATAATAATTTCTATTCGTAGTTATAAAAAAATTGACAAATACAAAATAAGTTTCACAAAAAAAAGTTTCTTATCAGCGTTAAGACATACATACGATAATATCGCGCATATAATATATATATATATATATATATATATATATATATATATATATATATATATATATATATATATATATATATATATATATATATATATATATATAATATATATATATATATATATATATATATATATATATATAAAATATATATATATATATATATATATTTTGAGTATATAGAGATTAAGTCACTCTGACATCAAATGAAAACAATTGGGTTGGCAGTCATGTTGAATGGTGTGATAGCATTGCAAGAAATAAAAGGAAATCCTTTAAGAATTTTTAATAATAAAGAATGTTATACGAAATTCATTATGAAGACGTGCTAAAAAATGATGTAATTTTTGTATCAGCAAAGAAATATATGTGGTAATATTTATGTCATGCATTATTACAGCATCATTTCATTTTTTTAGGAATTAAAAATTGATTTGCAATAGGCTGTTATTCAGGTATGCAAAAAAGTGATAAGGTTAGCTGAGCGAAAGGTACAGAGATTATCTCATAAAGAAGTGGTTACAAAAGAGTTAAAAAAGATTGTATCACATGTAAAAGTGATTATTAAAGCATTAAGAAAAATTACATGTAGAAGTTGTTATAAAAGAGTTAAGAAAGATTGTGTTACATGAAAAAGAGTTTGTAAAAGAGTATAAAAATATTGAATCATGCAAAGAAGTGGATATAAAAGAATTAAGAAGTGGTTAAGAATTGATAATAAAAAAGCTAAAAACCTGTTGTGCTCAAAATTGTTCAAACAAAAACATAAAGGACAGTAATGTAAAGTTATATCTTAATAACTTCTTTTCTTATTTTGAACTTTTATATTTGAATTCAATATGACTTTGTTGTATAAATTAACTGCCAAACTGTTTATAAGGAAGTACAGATCACTTTTATAACGAAATTATGACATTAGTTCTATATTATTGCTAAATTCCATGCTTATAAATATACATGCATTATAAATATACAATGACATCACAAATTATCCATTTAACAATGCTTAAAACATTTTACTAAAGAAGTTACGTACTAGTTAAAAATAATTTATCATTTACTAAAGCTAAATTAAAAAGAGATTATAAAGTAAGAGATTATAAAGTATCTGCAGAATGGCATTTTTTTGCTATATCACATGAAAATATGGAAAGAATGAGTAGAATGGCCTTGGGGGCACTGTCAAAAGACTTGTAGCTAAGGCCAGTGTACAATCACTTACAGATCCTATCAATTCACCTGAGAAAACGTATGATTGGTGTAGACAAAATATCAAAGGAATGCATTTTCAATACATTCAAATAATGCAATCGTATTACATTGCATAGAGTTTAAATTAGAAGAACGTTATGCTACTTGTTCAATAATTTCAGGAACAAGAAACAACCATTGTTTTATACCACAATCATATACTTTACAGATGAGACGGATGTCATTTGACAATATATATACCAATGTAAATATTCCTAAAATGCAGCATATAGTTCCAGTTGCTTCTCTTTCACCAGGAATTAATATAGCTTGTGTTTAGGATGCAAAATAGTTTTTAGGCAATATTTTGGAAATATCTGAAGAAAATAAAGATGTTCTTATGAAGTTCATGAAGCAGTCTAATTCCTTAAACACTTTTACTTGGCCACATTAAGAAGATACTTGCTGGGTACCAATAACATAGTTTTATGCAAAGTTTTATCTTCAAAAGTTCAATCAACAACTGGTAAATGGTATGAACTATCAGCTCAAGAAAAAACTGAATTATTTCATACAATACCATAATTAACATAATTAAATAACTACATAGCAAAATTATTTTAAATTTGATTTTTAAATTTGATTAGCAAAATAAATTTGAATTTTAAATTTGATTAGCAAAATAAATTTGAATTTTAAATTTGATTAGCAAAATAAATTTGAATTTTAAATTTGATTAGCAAAATTCATTTAAAAGATTCAATGTTTATATTGATTGTTTATTACATAGTAATATTCTTTATTAAATAATCAACTTTTGTATTGTGATGACAAGTCAAATAATTCTTATAACTTGGTATGTGTGTTGAAATCTTAACTTGAAAATGGTAATCAAATAAGTCAAATTAATGGGGAGAGTGGAATAGTGAATGCATTAGAAAAATATTAAAAAAATTATAGTTATGATATTAAATATATGGTAAATTAGACTAAAAGTCTTTCTTTTCATTTTTACCTTATAGGCTACTTATAAGTATTATATAAAAACATTAAAAACTAATTTTCAGTTTTTATATGTGTATGTTTAGTAATGTGTTTAGGCATAAAGGCACTTAATACATCAGACATAAAACCAGACACACCATGTAAAGAGAAGTGTTTAATTACAATTTATTTCTAAGTTCTGGGGGAAAATGTACATTTTAAAAAGTGAATGGACTGGGGAGGGGGCAGTAAAGAGCTACGGCATTTAAAAACTGTGTTTAATTCAGGCTTAATTAAAGACTTTTCTAGTACTGATTATGAAATAGTCTTAAATTCATACATACTTTGTATTACAATATATAATATAAACTAAAGTACAATAACAGCTTTATTGTTTTTAATGTATTTTGGGCAATTTTCATTTTGTAACTTCCCCATGAGTACCCACTATATATATATATATATATATATATATATATATATATATATATATATATATATATATATATATATATATATATATATATATATATATATATATATATATATATATATATATATATATATATATATATATATATATATATATATATATATATATATAATAAGTATTCTCATAATATTTATTAAAATTTATAATTTATAAAAATTATAAATTAAATTTTTTTAGAAAATGAAAAAAACAAAGAATAATAAAATAAAGATTGCTGCCCAATCAACAGCAATAAGATAATTAATATATGTACTGAACCCCCTGCAGCAGACTATTTCAGTGTGAGGTCACAGATAAGCACTGTGACATCACTCTATAAACACACATTTATAGTTGTGTGTATATATATTTATATATTCAATTTATTTAGTAATGTTGTACTTTTTATAGATATATTTTATTGCTCTTAAATATATAGCTTTACATATTCTAAGTATATTTTCTTATAAACATGTTGCTATTTTTATCAATTATTTTTTTAAATTAAATTACAATCATATAATATGAACTAATTTTAAATCTTCCAAAAATAACTTTTTGTACTTGTATATTTCAATATGATGCATATATATTACTATATTCAAGTGTATGGTTTAGCAATATGACATTCATTGTATGTGTTGGTTCTAAATAATGTTTACCTTAGTGCAGAGGTGAAATATTTATTTTATATTTCATCTTATATATTTTACCTTCTATCTATACCGGACAAAAGTGAACTTTTTTTGAAGTTTTTAAAATATATAAATAAAAAAAAAGCCTAATAGTTTGTGATCCTACTTTTTAAAATATTATATGTGTTAGGATAAAATAAGACTCTAAAAATCAAGAAATCGATATTTAAAAAAATAAAGTTGTTTTTGAGCCAAGGTTAAATTAGGTTATTATATAACTATTTACTCCAATTTAGTTGTATGAAAAGTAAATTTAAGTGTCTTTAGCCAGTCTTTGTTATTTCTGTTAAAATGTGAAATATTTTTTGTGTATTTGTCAATTTTTCTGATGCTTTTTGTATTTTATTTTACAGTTAAAGCATTGATTTTTTTAAATATTTATTCTTTTGGAAGGATTATCTAATGTTAGGCACTTACTTTTGTACCAACACTTTATTTTTTGTTGGTTGTTTGAAAGGTGCTTGAATTTTCTAGTGCATCAGAACCACTTTTCAACCCATCAATATCAACAAGTGATATATAATATTAAAAAAAAATGTTTTTCAAAAAATTATTCTATTATATTTTTTTTAATCAAAAAATTTAGAAAAAATCTTTACAAGTTGAATTAATACAAAAATTTAAACCAAAACTATTTTAAAATGTGATAATTTGATAATTTGCAAAATTACCTCTAGTTCACTTTTCTCCAGTGACTTTTACCCCTTTAAAATTTACTAGGTTAAATTTTGTCTATATCAATAAATATCATCATCATCATCATCATCATCATCATCATCATCATCATCATCATCATCATCATCATCATCATCATCATCATCATCATCATTATCATTCATCAATCATCATCATTTTGAAGTTATAATTTACACTGTAAAAATTTTGTAGGAACATTTTTCAAAAAAGAATTCAATTTAAACAAGTTAACAGCAAAATCTATGCAAAAATGTCTTGTGATAGTCTGTTAAACAACCAAGCGGAGTTAGCAGATGATGCATTACAAATTGTAAATATTGAACATGTTGAAGCAAAAGATAATAAAGGGATTGATTATGAAAAACTTATAAGTAAGTGTTTGTTATTCAACTTTAGTTACTTTTTTTTAATCAAAAGATTATAAAAAAATGATTTCATAAAGTTTTTGTTTTAAATTTTTCCTAGATAATCAGTCAATGTATATACTGGAGCCCTCACCTTTCTCTTATATATATGTGTATATATATGTATGTATATATATATATATATATATATATATATATATATATATATATATATATATATATATATATATATATATATATATATATATATATATATATATATATATATATAGAGAGAGAGAGAGAGAGAGAGAGAGAGAGCATTGGTTATTCTATTTAAACTAGTGCATTTGAATATTCAAAACTCCCTAAAATTAGGGTGGCATTACAACTTTTTATCTATGATGATGTTTAGCATTAGACATCAAATTAAAAAGTGCATTACTTTAAAGTGTTAAGGAAATCTCTATATTCACAGCGAAAACAGAGGAAAAGTAATTTTTTCTTTATTTGTTTATAGTATTAGTTATTCTAATCTATATTTTTGAATGACTAAAATAACATTATAAGTTCTGAATAAAATTAAAAGAAAAAATCTTCATAAATAACGTTTATAGATTTTATAGGGAACTTTTTAGATGAAATCATGTTTTTTTAAATTAATTTTAAAACTTTATAAGATGTTAGTGCTGTGTACGAGTAAAAGTAACTTTAACAATTAAGTAAATTTAACAATTAATTAAGTAAATTTAACAATTTTATAATATTTGCGATGACAAAAACATTTTAAACTTGATTTAAGATTAATTAAAAAATTTGCAATATTATTTTAGGTAAAAAAGATTGCATTAATGTAAGTTGTTTGTTTTTATTTTATATATAGAGCAATTTGGTAGCCAACATGTAACTCAAGAACAAATTAACAAAATAGAATGTTTGACTGGTCAAAAAGCACATAGATTTCTTCGAAGAGGAATTTTTTTCTCCCAGCGGTAATACTTTTTGTATAAAAAATATTGAAATAGAATAGTATAAATTTTAAAATGTAAGGAGATTGTTTATCTCTTTTCACTTCACTGCTCTATTGTTCATCAAAAATTAAAATTTTTATGGGAATGGGATGATTTGGAAGCTTGATTTAAAAAACGCCACAAAAGTTGTGGTGTATTTTTAATAACTTCAACTGCACATGGTTTTTACAATTTCAAAATTTAAGACTATGAAAATAGAAATTTTGAGATAATGATGGAATATTGTATTTTATATTTAGTATTTGTATTTATATTTGTATTTTGTATCATATTTTAGATCATATACACAAAAGATGGAAAAATCTCAAAAATTATTAGTTGTCTTTAATCATTTTACTTTAACTTTTGGGTTTTTCATAATCAAAAAAGAATAAAAATTTATTAAAAATTGTGTTTTTCAAATTTTTTAAAAATTTTTACTATATAATATATTAACCACTTAATAAATTAGTATTTTTTTGATTTTTGAAGCATAAATCTAGTGAGATGTTATGATTTTTTGATTTTTGAATCTAGTGAAATGTTATAGCGTTTGAAGTAAAAGTGATCATTCAGTAATAAGTTATCCAAAAGAATTTACAAAAACATATTTTTAACATTAAGATATTTATATTCTTTTTGTATTTAATTTTTATAGTATTTAACTGACAAAAGACTGATTAGGCTGCATCATATGAAGAGAGAGAGTTTATGTTTCTTTTTTTACAATTGAGTTGATTGATAACATATTATCTTATTTAATATATTTATAGATTTTTCTAAATTTATTTGTTATTAACTCTTTTTCATCAAGGGATTTGGATTTCATTTTATCAAAGGCAGAAAAGCATGAGCCTTTTTATTTGTACACTGGTCGTGGCCCATCTTCTGAAGCTATGCATCTGGGACATCTTATACCTTTTATTTTTACTAAGTATGTATTTTTTATTTATAAATTTAAACTTAAAAATTTAAGGATGATTACCAGAGGCAGAACCTCAGATTTTTTCTCAGTTGCTATGCGGGCAATTAAACTATCGTATATTTTACTTTAGTTGCCCACTATGATAATCATTTGTGCAGCATTTTTAATTTTATGGGTGTTTTTTCTCAGGTGAAAAACTAAAGAAAAAAAATTTAAATGACTGACTACTAAAATACGATTAATAAGAACTGTTTAAATAAAAAAAAGATAAATAATAATAAAAAAAGTGAAATTGAGGATTGGGAAAAAGTATAATCAAATGTTAAAACATGTTGCAAAATGTTAAAATCTAATGTTAAAAGTTGTTAAAAAATGCTAAGCAATTTTTACTACATTTAATTACAATGAGAACTTTAAATACGACTTTTCAAGATGATCATGAACTATTTTAACTGGAGTAGTTGCTTTATTATATATTTATATTTAAAATATAAATTATTATTAGATAATTTAGTTAAATTTTTAAAAGACTTTATTTTTAAAGTAATTTAATTTACCAAGACTTTTATTAAGAGTTTACTAAGAAAAAAATTTCCATGGGCATCATTAATAATGCTTTTTATTACTTTTACAAAGTTTAAATAAAATTAATTTTACTAATGAATAACAAAAGATTAAACGTATTAATGATTCACATGCCTATTCAGCTAATTCAAAATGCAACTAATACATTAAAAAAAATTATACATTACCATCTTGATTTGAAAGAAAATATAATTTTGAAACTCATTTTGAAATGAGAAAAAAGTTTGATTCAAAATGCAACTTTAACATTAAAATTTTTTTTGATACATTTTTATTTTGAAAATGTATAAAAAATTATTCTTGAAAAGAAAAAATGCTCTAAAATGGAATATTTTAAAAAACAGTATAGTTGCACTTTGAATCAATTTAAATTGTGTGCATGCCTAATTGGATTCAAGTTGGTTTCTTTATACTATGTTTAGTAAAAATATATAATGTACGGTTGTGTATTCATTTTTAAACGTAGTGTATAATTTATTTACATTTTTAAACATTGTACTTTGAAAACTTTTTTAAATAATCACAAGGAATAAAATCTTCATAGTTCAAAATATGGTTTTATTAATAAACAATCTTTTGTAAGTAACAATCTGCCTTTTGTAAGTAACAATCATCCCTCCACGCTACTGTCTTGCATTTTTTTCAAAATTTAAGTTGCTCTTTAAGAAAACGCGTCATCCTGGGCTGTTGGATGATCATTTTGTAAAAAGATTAATCAAGTTGTTATTGTAATTATATTAACATGTCTTTGATGAATGTTGAAATTAAAACAATAAAGTTTAATTATTAATTAAATTTAGGTATATCCAAGATGCATTTAATGTTCCTTTAATAATTCAATTGACAGATGATGAAAAATTTTTGTGGAAAGAAGAGCTGACATTAGAGGAAGCAAACCGGCTATCTTATGAAAATGCTAAAGATATTATTGCATGTGGCTTTGATAAGAAAAATACATTCATTTTTTCTAATATGGACTATTTAGGGTATTTATAATTATTACTCAATGTATTGTTTTACATTGTTGTTTTTGTACTGTTTTATTTATACAGTATTATTATATTGTGTTGAACAAACTACAGGCTTGGTCAGGAAGCGGGTGCGATCGCACTCGATAATTGACCACGGAAATTATATTTACTTGCGAAAAGCCAGCCAGATTTTTCAGGCGTTTTGAGAACATTTCAATTTATGTATGTTTCCTTGTTTGTCCGCAAAATAATAAGTTCATTTTATTGTAAATTTTAAAAGATTTTGTTTTACGGACGTACATGGAAACTTATATAAACTTGAATGTTGTCAAACATCTTAGTGCGGAAAAATAAATAAAGAATATTCGCAAACACAAAAAACCCGCCAAATTTACGAACAACTAATTCTATTGGTTCAATTAATAAATAACTGAAATTACTAAAGAATTCAAGCGAATGTTCTAGAGTATTCTGTTGAATTATTTTTCAAAATCGTATAATTTGAGTTTTGTTATGTTTTCGTTGAGATTTCTAGCATCAATTGCTTTAAGAATATACTATCAAGCGAACAATTATTTTAATACAGTGGCTCGTTCTCGGAGTCACATCTACAAAGCTATAAATGTTTTAAACTAACATTTGTTTACAAAAATAAATGTTTTAAATTTATATTTTTAAACTTGTTAACGTTTTGTAAATATATTATAGATTTAATTAGTATAATCTTATTTTTTATATATAAGGGATATATTTATATGTATATAATGTATTAGAAATTGGTTTATTAACTTCAACTATTTTTGCTTCATCCATTCTTACAAACTCGTTATACTTACACTTAAAGTTACTTTTTTCTGTAAAATACTAGTTAAAGATATAAAGCCCACTCACTAAACATCATCAGCAATATTGTTAAGCAGTTCCGCTTCCTCCTTACTAAATAATTTAACGTTTTTAGTTAATTTCTATCTAGCTAATTAAATTTCCACAGTAACTCAATGATTTAGTTATTTCATTTGTTTATCTTACTAAGAAGAATTGTTTCAAATATGTTAAACTTTTCAAACTAAGCGAAGCATAAAACAGGTACTGAAAAAACTTTTTTTATTTATAATTAAATTATGTAGCGTTAGTTTAATTGGTTTAATCTTGTTGGACTTTACAGGGACGGGGGCTGCATTATTTTGGTGGCCTTTTTTATGTGCGACAGCGTAAAAATGACTTAAAAATACCGATAGGTCCTCTTGACTATTTCTCGGCCCATAACATTGTGTGTCCCGGGACTATAGCTCTTCTACCCCCCCCCCCCACCTCTTATTTCCAGCACTGGAAATAAGTCAAAAGTATATAAATAAAAATTATATATAATCTTTGATAAATTGAAGAACATTTGCTTCTTTATTAAACAATCATTATTAGTACGTTATTACTATATACAAAAAATGTCACTTTTTTTAAACTATTTTTCTTTTTTTAATTGTCTCTCATCGGTCCAGTTTATCTTATTGCACTTTTTTGATTGTTTTTGAAATGTTCTCAAAACGCCTAAAAAATCTGGCCGGTTTTTCGCAACTAAATATAATTTCCGTGGTCAAATATCGAGTGCGATCGCACTCGCTTCCCGACCAAACCTGAAACTATGGTGAAAAATCTCAAATTTAAAACAAAACTTGATCAAAAACTGAAAAAAATTTAACATATAAATTTTAAAATAGTTTATGATGTTTTTTTTAAACATTTATATCATAATAAGAATCACAAAATAATTTTACATTTTACGTAGCATTTTTACATTTTCCTCAAAAATCAACATTTTTCTTTAATGTATATATATACAATATACTTTCAAGTATATATATGATAGTTTTATTATTATTGATGTATAAGGTATATAATGTTTATGCATTTTAAAAAAATGACTAATATTTAAAAAAAATTTTAATGATGAAGTTATTATTTTTCAAAAAACTTTGAAGTTAATTTAATATTTGGTAGGGCTTTCTTTTAGTTATAGTTTTCATTCTTTGAGGCATTGACTCTTAATGAGTCAACAGTTCTCATATCAATATCATGCTGAGCCTTCTCTCATGTTACTCATTATAATCGCATGCCTTCTTGATTTATTCAAGTAGTTAGCTTTATCTTATTGTCAATTTTTCCCAGAGGTTTTTGATGGGATTAAAGTCAGGGATTTGTATCGTTCACTCCATTAATAGTAATATTCTTGTCCTCAAACCATTGTTTTATGACTTTTGACTTATGTTTGGGACATTGTCCTATTCAAAAATCCATAATAGGGGCATCTCCTATTCAACATGTGGCATAGCCTCTTTTTACACAAAGTGATCTATAAATTTAATAACCTTGTGAATAGGACCAGTTCCTAGTGCTGAAAAACATTCAGCACTAGAAACTGGTCACTAGCATAGCATAGAAGATAGCAGGGAACACAGCATAGCAGATGTTCCCTGCTATCTTCTCGGCATATATGTGTTGTATCTAGTGTTCTTTAGTTGTGTCTATTGTTCTTTTTTCCAGACTCACTTCTTATTACCTTGAAAGATATTATTTTTGGTCTATCTTCTGGTCTGCAGTCCAGTTTTAGTGTGCTTTGGCAAATGCAAGTTTCTATTCTTAAAAAAAGTGGTTTCTTTGCAGGTATTTGAGAAAATAATGCTTTTTTAGCTCTTTGTCACACAATCAGAGGTTTGTATTTCAAGTTTTTCTGTTAATTTTGTTAAAAGGGATCTTTTTTAAGCTCTTTAAAAATTCTTTGATCTAGTCTTTGTTATGTTTTTCTTGTGCGTCCACACCAATTGTTTGTTTCATAGCAGTCATGAGAATCAAAAATTTTTTTGTAAATTTAACAAAAGTTAAAAGGTATTTGATTACAGCTGTAAATCGTTTTGATCTTTATGATGTTTTTCTTGGGTGCATACCCCAATTGTTTGTTTAATAACAGTTACAGTTTTGCTTACAGTTGACTTAGCTATATTATATTTTCTAAAAAATTCAGCTTGAAGTTTTTAAAATCTTTAACAATATTTTTACACAAAACAATTTACGCAGTTATGCATTTTGTTATGTAGTTAAATTAATTTTTAGTTAAACAGAAAGATTATTGAAAAAATTAAAAAATTTATGTACTGAAGTCCCTGCCAATTTGTATTTCAGTATGATATCAGCAGTATCATTTCATTAACAGCTAAATCCTCTTTTGTTGTTCATTTACAATTAAAACTTGGTAGTAGGCTATTGTTAGCAAAACTCCATTAACATCATGGATACAGAATGTACAACAATGATGCTTTGGATAGCCTAATATAAAAAATGCAAGTATCTCTTGCTGGTGCTGCCACATATAATTCTTATGTTGTCTTAATTTAACATTTTTAAGTTCTAGATGTTTTAGCTGCACTTATCACTGTTTAAAACATAATATGTTAAAATAAACATGTATTGATCAAGGATATTTATAGGTAAGTTCCAGGTTGAAACACACCCCATATTGTGATCCTGTGCAAGTTATTACTTGAAACAAAAAGATTGTTGATTATTTCTCTACAACCAAATATCTTTCTGCAACTTTTAAATTTTAAAAAATTTGTTCAAAAGTTCATTATGTATTATCAAAGCTATTTTTAGTTATTTCTAACTTTAAATAGTTTCAAAACTTCTACAATTTTTTTATTGACAAACGAGGACACTCCCTTATTACAAAGGATGTTACTACCAAGGACATGTTTTTAACTTAAGATCTCCTAAACAAAATTAAGCATTTAGTAATTTAGTTTCATCATTTGGTAATTCTTTAATTATTAACTTAATACAGTAATCAATTCATCATTTGGTGTATATTTTAACATTTTATATTATATCATTTAATCATTTAAAGATAATTGTTTTAATAATATTTTATAATAATATAAATATTTTTCTTTTATATTAACAATCTATGACCAGACAATCGACTGAGTTTTATCGTACAATTCTTCGCATTCAAAAATGTGTTACTTTTAATCAAGTCAAAGGAATTTTTGGTTTTGGAGATGGTGACAAAATTGGTAAATTTTTATTAAATTTTCTTTAACATGCAACATATTTTTTTACTCTATTCTATATATTTATATATTTTTCTCTTTATTCGATATTTTCTCATATTCTATTTTTATCTCTTTAGATAAAAAAAAAACATTTGTCATAAATTTAATTATTATTTACTGTTAAATTAGGTTGTTATAAAAATTTTTTTTTATTGTGAATCATTAGCATTGGTATCCCTTTTTGTAATTTTATTTGTTTTTTATTAAAATAAAATACTTATTTATATATTATCTAAAAAGTTTACATCCGAGTAATAAATCAATCTCCTTTACAATATTTTATTATTTAAGAGATTATAAAAAGAAAAAAAAATGTTTGTTTTAAGTAAAGTTGATAATTTAATAATTAACAATTTAATAATTTAAGTAAAGTTGATAACTTAATACTTTTTATTTTAATTGTGTTTGTTCAATAGATCAGAGTAGAAGGGTATCATAGGTTCCCTTTTTCTTTCTTCCTGAAATAACTATGATAAAATCTAATAAACAAATTTTTAGATAATTCAGTTGGAAAAACCTACTAATGAAAAACAGTGTTGGTCTTAAAATTCTGGTTTGATTCATTTTTAGGACCTCCATAATTACTTTCTAAATCACTCACTATACAAAAAATTTTTTTTTTCTGGATATACAAAAAAAAAAATAATAATTCATACCAGAAAAGAAGCTGAAATAGAAGTTAACAGGAATTCCAGATATGTTATATTTTGTAACCTGGAAATCCAAAAAGTTTTTCAAAAAAAAAAGTTGATTAAAAATGCTGTTTAATAAAGTCAATTGCTGAAACATTTAAATACCATTTAAAAATTGAAGAATAAACTTTAAAATTTTTAATGAATTTTAAAAGCCAATTTTACTGATAATACCAGATAATGCTACTGATAATATCAAATAATGCTATTGATAATACCAAATAATGCAGCTGATAATACCAGATAATGCTACTGATAATACCAGATAATAAATTTATTTCTGCAGAACAAAAGTTCAAGTCTTTTTCCAAATTGATCAAGCCTTTTGTACTCAATCTAGCAACTTGTAAAATTGCTTGAGCATATCCAGGGTTCCCACTCGTCCTTAAAAACCTTAAATTTCATTAAAAAAAGAAACCTTAAAAGTCCTTAAACAACCTTAAAAAAAATTAAAATTTGGCTGCTCTCCTTAATTTCTCCTTACTTTCTTTTTTTATCATCTAGGAAATTTTATTAAAGTGAATAGATCATATATATTAATAAAAAAGCAAATAGTTACTTTTTTGATTATTTGAAATCCTATACTTTTATTAAATATATATACATATATATTGTTTTCATCTTTAACTTAATACTACAGTCAATTTTTTTTATTATTACATCGAATTTATTTGAAACAAGTTTATAAGCTTTCCTTTTTTTCATTGTTTCATTCGTTTAATTAAAATATAAATTCATAATGTTTTCGCATCATTAAAACACTAAAACAATGAAATAACGATTTCTTTTTGTTAAAACATATTTAATGTTTTTTTGTTGCTAGCGCTAATAGAACTTTTATAACTTTTTTAGCAAATGTTTTCACAAACTTAAACTTTTCTTTTTCTCAAATAAATTTATAATTTTAATTAAGTTATAATTTTAATAACAAAAGCTTTTTAAATTTAGTTAAATTTTGGCTGAAAACATTTTAGGTTAACATTTTGAAAACAAGTTTTTTAAATGTTTTACTTCGACTGCCAAAACGCAATTAAAAATATGTGAATAGTGATTATTTTGTTTTTTACGATAAGCAAACTATTCCGTTCAAAACACAACGTTTTTAAAAATATTTTTTTCGAAATAAAATAAAAAACTTTTATTATTATACATATGGTTTTTAGCAAATGCTTTACAAAATTAAATTAACAACGTTTCTCATAATTAATTTGTATTTATTACACAATTTAATATTATTAATAAACTTATATAAACAAATAAAATTTTATTTAATTTCGTTAAATCTTTGCTGTAAATGTTTTATATAAAAAAGTCTCATTCATAAATCGCCATTCATTGTTCGTAGAAATTTGCGCTCTAATTTTAACAGAATCATGTAAGTTAACATGAAAAAATGAGTTTTTTAATTGAAGTAACTTTTACTAAAGTAACAATTTACTAAAGTAAATTGAAATAACTTTAACATTTTACCTCAATTTTTTTTTTATCCCGCCCGCAATTAATAAATATTCCATTAATGAGCGTGTTTCACATGACCGGAGCAATTTCTCCTACTTCATGCCAAGGCCTGATATATATATATTTTTTTGTTTGCCGAAGTTTCTTTGTTGACCGCAAACATGTTTAGGTCGGCATTCGGCAATGCCGACCCTAATTCCAAAGGTTGTATATATATATATATATATATATTTATATATATATATATATATATATATATATATATACATATATATATATATATATATATATATATATATATATATATATATATATATATATATATATACATATATATATATATATATATATATATATATATATATTATATATATATATATATATATATATATATATATATATATATATATATACACACATATACATAATTAATGTTGGAAGTTACTGGAAGAGAAAAGATAAAGATTGTAGAGCAAGATAACGATTGAAAGACAACTTAAAAGATTGCAAAATATATATAAATCAGGAAAGCAAGATGAAAGATGCGAATTCTAAAGAACTGATGTTCGAGGAAAAAAAGTAGACGAATAAGAGTTTGTAGAGCAATCTACAAACAAAACAAAGACAAAGTACTTATATATAAACAAAACAAAGACAAAGTAAATATATATATATATATATATATATATATATATATTATATATATATATATATATATATATATATATATATATATATATATATATATATATATATATATATATATATATATATATATATATATATATATATATATATATATATATATATATATATGTATATATATATATTATATATATAATATATATATATATATATATATATATATATATATATATATATATATATATATATATATATATATATATATATATATATTGTTTTATTTCATTGTTATTATTTTTGTTGTTGATTTTATTATATTTTCAATATTTATTATTTTTTATTAACATCAACATCTCTAGCTTGGTCAGGTTCTCTTTGAGCAAATTCCTCTTTGAGCAAATTTATTTAAAAAAAACCCTCTTTGAAAAAAAAACCCTCTTTGAGCAAATTTATTAAGTTTCGTATATCATGTTCTTTTTTTTTAGACCTTGCGCGTTGGTCATAATTTTCCATTAAGAGTCTGAGTTTATAATTTCTATTACATACGTGATGTCTAAATTATCATCATTATTATAATTTTTTACTATACGCTTCACTAGAGTGTCTTTGTTTTGTTCTGAACATTTGTTTTTATATCTTGCATGACTGGTTTGATTTCTATCAAACCAGTCATGCAATCATGGAAAAATGCTTCAAGTGTTTATGGATAGCCCTAATGTGAATAAACTGTTTTTGGCAATGTTCAATGAAGAATGTCAAAACAATGAACTAAGTACAATTATTGTCATTATTGTTACCTGTGGTTTACATACTATCAATGGATTCTTACAAAATTTAGTTTTAGTTTCTTTAAACTGATAAACCAATAACTCTTTTTTTTTTTAGAAAAACTATGCAACTTTTAAGCTAAATTTATTTGATTAAAAGTTCCTGCAAACACCAAAACTACAAAGTCTTTATTAAAAATAGATTTATCTAATTACACAAATTGACTCTCAACCATTAAGATTGATGTTGATTTTTCATTAATCTCCAGCAACTTAAGAATAAGGGGTTACTGATGTTCAAATTGATGAGTTCAAGAAGAAAATATGTGATTTTCTTGTCTCAATGTGTACCTATATCATAAAGAAACTGTCGTTCACAACCAAATCTCTTTAAATATTAGCAAAATATTTCCTTAAATCTCCTTAAAATCCTTATTTTTAGCTTCAGTTTTAATATTAGGAACCCTGATATCTAGGAGAATGTTCTACCTGGTTTTAAAATCTAAAACTAATAAAATTTCTTTTCCAGGCATGTCTTTTACATGTATTTTGTAAAACAGAATAATTTTTTTAGTGGAAGATTTTTTTAATACTTTCATGTCTTTTCTGAATTATCTATCAAAGAATAAATATCAGTGTTAATTAATATGAATTTTCTATCAAAGAATAAATATCAGTGTTAATTAATATTTTCTATCAAAGAATAAATATCAGTGTTAATTAATATTTTCTATCAAAGAATAAATATCAGTGTTTAATGAATTTCAGAATATCAATTGCAAGATTTATTTCAATACTAAATTCAGTTTCCTCATAAGAATAAATTTCATTTATATTAGTTATTGGGATATTTTAAGGGATATTTTAATTTTCTTGTTCGGTAGTAGAAATGAAACTTTGAGTATGGCTAGTTAATGTGTTATGTGCTATTTATAATATATAATATGTTATAAGAAATTTGATATCTTACAAGATTTTATAGCTTACCATTTGCATGAAAATTGTCATTCATATTCTGTCGGTTCCTCATTTTCATTGGAAAGTGACATCCACTTTCTAATGAAAATTGACGTTAATTAGTTGATTCCTCAGTGACATCCACTTTCCAATAAACAATGACGTTATTTAGCTGATTCCTCAGTGACATCCACTTGCTAATAAACATTGATATTAATACACAGCGGGCTCCTCAATTTTATCCACTTTTTAATGAACACTGATATTCATTACAGTAAATTCCTCAGTGACATCCACTTGTCCAATGTTAAACTGAACTTAATACCTTGTACTTTTAAAGGTTGCAATTCATGAATCTTTTTTTTTATATATATATATTTTCTCAATAGTTTATAACAGTTTTTTTTTACTTTCATGGAATTAGAAATGTTTTCAAAGCCTTTAGCATGTAGTAAGCTACGAAGATCAGTTGATGAATCAAGTTTTTGATTGGTTAGACATCCTTAGCAACCCTGCAAAAACAATTGCTAAAAAAAAAATGATTTTATTGTTAAAATATAATGTAACTTTACCTTTGTTGCGTTTTTCTCCAAATTTTTACCGCGAATTTGGATCCTGTATCTTCATTAAAACCTTTTTTAAATATATTTATTTTAATATTTTTTGTTTTCCACACCCAACCAATTTACAAACTCCATATTCTTACCCAACAAAATTACACAACCTTTTTGGGGTCTAACTTGTTTATTGTTAAATACAATTTTCATAAGTTCTATTGAATTAGTATAAAATTCAAATGCTTTGTAGTCCTTAAATTGGAATAAATATTTATTACTTGTAATGTTTACAATGTAAGACAAAGATACATTATACTTTTTATAAATTTTTTTTTTTTTTAATTATCTCATAAAAATTTGAACATACCACCCACAAGCACACATACATATATGAAATGTTTTTTTATTGTTATTACTTAAAAGAGAATGTTGTTAAGTATTACATTTATACTATATAGTCTATATAATGTTTAACTATTTGTTGTTTTCTTTTGTATACTTAATTCTTATATTTAGTGCTGTGTTTTTTATAAGCATTCACACAAGAATTCCTTTACATAGAAATAATTTCGAGGAGAATTATTTGTGTAGCAATCCTAAATAATGCTTTAAAGGAATTATACAAATCATTAATAAATAATTCCAAAGGAATTATTTGTGTAGCAATCATTGTACCTTTTTTTTTAGAAATTCATTTTTAAATAGGTATATTATTTTCTCAAAATTCTTTTTTATCTTCTGATAGTAATATTAGTAAATAGTTTTAGTGGTAAGCATAAATAACACTTAAAATACTTAAAGAGGTCTGATATGTTTTTAGTTCAAATAAGTCCATATTTTGAGGTAAATTAGAAAAAGTTTGTTAAGGTATTCCTGATCCCTATTATCAGGTTGAAATCAGGAAAACATTAACTAGTTTTTATAGTAGCTACTATGGCGAATAAATTGCAAAAATTGTATGTATCAATGGAAACAAAAAAAATTCAAAAAGTACAAAATTAATCATTTACAGCAATTCCTATTCTAAAACATTTATCAATACTTGATAAATGCTTTACAATATTTTTTTTTAGGAAAAATATCTTTTCCTGCCATTCAAGCTGCCCCAAGTTTTTCTAGTACATTCCCACAAATCTTTAATGGAAAAAGCAATATTCCTTGCCTGATTCCTTGTGCAATTGATCAGGTAATGTCTTTAAGTTGTGAAAATTGTTAAATCAAAAGTTTTTTTTTCCTTGTTAATTAAAAAAACTATTTGAAAACAAGCTGAAAAGCTAAAACAAAGTCTTATTATTTTTTATGAAATGTTTATGAAATAAGAAATTAACATTTTGCTGTTCAAAATACATATTAAACTTATGTATGCTAAATATTTTTTAATAATATTAATTATTGTTTTCTTTTTCTTTTTTTTTCTCAGCAATCTTTTGAAATGTTTTGTTTTTCTTTTTTTTTAAAGTGAGACTCTACTTGATTTTAAAAATATTTTATTAACATAGGATCCTTATTTTCGAATGACTCGTGATGTGGCTCCTCGACTAAATTATCTTAAGCCTGCATTATTACATTCAACATTTTTTCCTGCTCTTCAAGGAGCTAAAACAAAGATGAGTAGCAGTGATCCGAATTCATCTATCTTTTTAACTGATTCTGCTAAGCAAATTAAAGATAAGGTTGTATTTTTGTTAAGTTATTTTTTCGATTTTAAAAATTGTTGATATTGAATTTGTAGGTAGTTTATCAGAATATTTTTTACTTATGTTAGTAAAAAATATAATGACAAAACTATTTTTATTAAAAAGTTTTGCTTAAAACCTTAAAAGTTGTTTTTTAAAGTTATAAAATTAAATGTAATCATTATAAGGATTTAAAAAATATTGTTTTGTCATAAAAATTTGTGTCAAAAGTCTTATTTATTTTAAGTTCATTATCTTATAGATAAACAAACACGCATTTTCTGGTGGAAGATCAACCCTAGAAGAACATCGTTTAAAAGGAGGAGATATATCAGTTGATATACCATTTCAGTATCTAACATTTTTTCTAGATGATGATGAAAAGTTGCAGCAAATTAAAGAGGTACTAATTAGATATTAAGTCATGATTTCATAAATATATATATATATATATATATATATATATATATATATATATATATATATATATATATATATATATATATATATATATATATATATATATATACACACTTAGTAGCTGACTAATTTTCTCTGACTTTTATAAAAAGGACTATTCAAGTGGAAAGTTGTTGACTGGTGAAATAAAAAAAGAACTTATTGCTGTGCTGCAACCCCTCGTAGCGCAACACATTGAAAGACGTAAATTAGTTACAGATGAAATGGTTAAAGAGTTTATGACACCACGACCTCTTAGTTTTAGTTATTAATGTATTTAACATGAAATATATTTATATAAATATATTTATTAGGAAGTTTAGAAATGTTTTTGTTCTTTTTTTTTTTAATTTTACGATTATTTTTTCCATACAAATATATATATAAATTTTTTAATGTTGTCATTATAAAGCATAGAATTGTTGTTGTAAAAGTTGTTGTCATAATCCAAAATGCTCATTCAAAAAAGAGTTTTAAAATAATTTAAATATCTTTTTATAAAAAATAAATTGCTATTGGCTACAAAAATAAAAGTTTTCTAGTCAAAAAATTGTTCTAAAAATAATTTCTATAAATTAAGGAGTTATTTAAGATTGTTTAAAAGAAACTTTTGTCAGTTAAAGTATAAAGTATATAAATAGAATATTAAATTGAGATTATTTTTTTCTTTTTAAAATTTTTAAATTACTGAAATAAGAAATGCTAAACACAAGGAGTTTATTAAAATATTTTAAAAGGCGCAGCGGTAACCTGTCAGCTACTCTAGAGAAATCACCAATTTGGCTATCTTTATCAAATTGTGTTTATGAAAATATTTCATTTGAAGAATATATTTATGAAAATGTTTCTCTTGATGTTTTTGATAGAATTTTATTCATATGGAGAAACACTCCTTCTGTTGTGATAGGTCGTCATCAAAACCCTTGGAAAGAAGTCAACTTAAAGAAAATTGAACAAAGCAATATTAAACTTTGTCGTCGTAATAGTGGAGGTGGTGCTGTTTATCATGATTTAGGAAATGTAAATTTTACTGTTTTTAGTAATAGAGAGTTATACAACAGAAAAGAAAACTTGAATTTTGTTGTAGAATTTTTTAAAGAAGTTTATAAGATCAATCTTGAAATAAATCATAAAGATGATATTATATTTGAACGCTTTAAAGTTTCAGGTAGTGCAGCAAAAGTTGGCTTGAACAATGCATATCATCATTTTACTTTATTGTGTAACGCTAATGTTAATTGTTTAAGTGAAGTCCTACAGAATTCTTTCTCACAAATCCAAACTAGTGCCACACAAAGTGTTTCTTCACCTATCAAGAATTTGTTTTATAATGGATTTGATTTTGCAGATTTTGTGAAAAATTTAACAGAGTTTTACCATATTAAATACAAAAAAATAAGTAATTATGCACAGGTTCACCCAATTAATTATCCTATTTCCCATAAAGTGGATTTGCTAAAAGCATGGGATTGGACCTATGGAAAAAGCCCTAAATTTAGTGTTGATGGAGTTCTAATGAAAAAAGGGGTGCAAATTGGTGTTATTAATATAGTGGTTCAGAAAGGATTAATTTCAGAAATACAATCATCAAGTGAGTATAATGAAAAACTAAAGTATTTTGTTGGGATTAGATTTGACCCTTATAAAATAATAGGTTTATTAAAGCTTTATGATGTAACAATACATTTTTAATACTTGATGTTCAATACTTAATGTTTACATTTTTAATTATTATTTTTTAATTAAAAATTAATGTTTACATTTTTAATAAAGTTTATTTTAAAAATTTTTTTTTTTTGATTTGTTATTTTGTTTTTTAATTCTATCAATCTAATTTAAAGTCAAAAATTAGATTGTTCTTGAGACAAAACGTTTTTTTAAAGAATTGTTTTTGAAAAAATTTTGTTAAATGTTTGCATAAATTTTTTACTCTACTTAGAAATAAACTAGTTTTGCAATAATTTAATTTTTACCAGTGTTTTTTTTTTATTATATGCTTTTTAAAATTTTTTATAGTTTTGTTGTTTTAGATTTTGTTGTTTTAGATTTTGTTGTTTTAGATTGTTTTAGATATGCGTTTTAAAATTTTTTATAGTTTTATTGTTTTAGATTCAATTTTTAATGTTTTCTTTTGCATCTTTTTTTCTACTAAAGCAATAAAAGAGTTGAAATTAATATAGTTTTTGGGGTTTTAAGTTGTATAGTATGTTCATATCTAATTTCCAGAACTAATTTTGATGTTTTTTACATACTGTAATGGGAAATTCTTCAAAGAAAGCATCTAGTTTGACAAAACCTACACTTGATGAAAGGCTGTTAAAACTTTTTGATGTAAGTTTCATATTTTGAATATTTATATTTTTATTTGCTTTATATTCTATATACATATATACATTAGGGGTAGTTAATTTGAGGAGATTTTCACATCTAAAATACCATACACTCTAGATTTGGGCAAAAATTAAAAAAAAAAACTCCCAAATAATTTGAGCTCAACAGGACCACTCAATTCTTACCCCCTAAGCACTTTTTTAGAAAAAAAAAATCTTAAAAAGCTTCAAAAATTGCCAATTTTACAGGTCCAGGGGGGATGTTTAATTACAAAAATTTGAATTTTTTTTTTCTGGATTGTTCATTTTTACCTATTTATTTGTGTAAAAATACATGGTATCATAGTTTTTTTAAAAAATATTTTTATTTTTGCATTTTGAATTGTAAAAATTACAATAAATGATTATGCTTACTGCATTTATGTTATCAAGAAAATATTATAATTAATTGTCCAGAATATTTACTTTTAATTTTTTATCATAGTTTTTTTTTATCATAGTTTTTTTAAAAAATATTTTTATTTTTGCATTTTGAATTGTAAAAATTACAATAAATGATTATGCTTACTGCATTTATGTTATCAAGAAAATATTATAATTAATTGTCCAGAATATTTACTTTTAATTTTTTAAATTAATAACGTAAATCTACAATAAAGTTTAGTAATTCCTACGTGGTGGGAATTTGACAAGACTCAGCTATAGTAGCTTGAAGAACAATTCAAAGGTTTAATTTGTTGCAATAGTAAATTGTTTTATATTAATTATTTTAAATCTGATTTTTTAAATTAGTAAAAATTAAATTAATTAATTTAAATATGTATAAAGAAGAAGAATGTGATCAGAAAACAGAAAGTGAAGGAACACTAAATTCTAAAATAAAACTATTCATTATCGAAGAAGCAAAACCAGCAATTAAAGGTGATAATTAGTTATATAATGAATCCCTTAAGCTAAAAACTTTAGCTAAACTTTTTATTTCTTTTTAATTTAAGGTAAATGAGCCATGGATTAAAGCTACATATTCTATATCAAAGTCTAGTGAAAAATCTTACAAATCTGAACTATGTATATTTAAAACTTAAGAAGCATGAAAAAAGGGGATCTGCTGTAGATTTGGCACAGCAACAAGAGTTTAGAGTTTACCTGAACAAAATATTTTGGGTTGGCATTCCTGATCTTAGAAATACAATTAAAAAATGATAAAACCAGATCTGATTCAGACAAGTTTAAGGATTTGGAGTTTCTGGAGGATCAAGAAGGGAAAAGAAGATTTATGCTTGGATCAGAAGATAAAAGTAAAGAAAAAAAAGTATGTATTTCTTTGAAACCAAAAAAAAAATTAAAAAGTTTGCAAGGCTTTCTAAGCAACTTACTTACAATTCAAGCCACTTAAAAAATTTAAAATAAAAGCAGCTAAACAAAGATAACAATGTTCACTCATATTTTCAATTTCTCATATAATTAAATTAAATTATTAATTATTAAATTTTAGGCAACAATGAGTTGCAGAAAGAGATATCAGCGTGTGAAGCAACAATATAAAGAAATAGAGAGTGCAACTAATTTGGGAAATATACAAATACTAATGAGGATTCCTTGTGTGATTTTAATCCTGGAGAGTGGTTTGAAAGAAAACCTTTTCAACAGAAAGTTACTGCTGAAATTCACATAGATGTTTTCACTGGTAATGTAACTCTTATGGCTGCAATTAATGATATTTCTCCAAGGGTTTTGCATAAAGTTATGGGTGCAATTCTAACTCAGGAGCTGATCTGACAGATTTTAAATAAAGCCAGTCTACAGCAGCTAGGAAAATGAAATATGCCAATTGTAATATATGCATGATATCAAAAGAAGATGTTCAACATAGTGATGAGTGAATCCCCATACCCATGCATAGTGCATTTTGATGGCAAAACATTAATTGAACTAAACAAAGGAAAAACAACTAAAACAGATATACTGGCTGTACTTGTAAATATTGAAGGTGAGACACACCTGTTTGGAGTAACTTCTTTAGCGTCATCCTCTGGTGAAGATCAGTGCAACGGTGTAATGGACCTTCAGAAGTACAACCTTGAAGCCAAAGTAGGAGGAATATGTTTCGAAACTATTGCAAGTAACACTTGGCTAAAGAAAGGTTCTTCAATAAGAATATCCAACAATATAGACAAATCTTTTACTTATTGCATGTAGACATCATCTATTTGAATTAAGAATGGTTCATTTTTGTAATTCAGTTTCAGATAAAAATTCTACAGGACTAGATTATCCTATAATTAAAAAATTAAAAACTGTTTTTGAATGTCCTCATTTTAATTACAATGAATAAAGTTTGATTGGAGAACAGTAAGGAGAACCTTTCTTGAGAAAGCTGCATGAGAGTCTTTGAACTTTTCTCAAGAATACATTACAAAGGGAAAATAAAATAAAAATTTTACCAGAGAAAATAGAAAGGAGCTTGCATAACTTGTTGTGAGTTACCTTTCTCCGTCTTCAGTAACACTAAGAAAACCCGGAGCAGTTTATCATGCTAGGTTCTTATTCAAAGCACTTTACTACCTAAAACTTCAGCTTCTATCCAGCCAAATTGAGTTTGTAAATCAGAACAATAAACTCAAGACAGAAATCAGGTAATAGGTGAATTTACAGTTTGCTTTTATGGCAAATGGTATTTACTGGCTAATGACACTATTAGAGCTCCCTTTCTTGATATAAAAGCAGTATACCAAATGCAACAGTACCAAAATATTTGTGCCAAACCAGATGCCGTGGATGCAGTTTTAAACTGGCTATACAAAAATAGTTGGTATTTAGATTCAACAATGATTCCTCTTGCTCTGTTGGATGATGATTTGTCATTTGAAGAGAAAGCAAACCTTGCAAAAGTAATTCTAACTTTTAAAATGCCGATTTCAACTTGATACATTACTAAAAACAAATCAAAAATAGATAAAAAGGATAAAGCAAAAATGGGAAACAAAATTAATAATAATCCATCTTCCCTTGCTCTGTTGGTTGATGAATTGGATTAGAGGAACAAAGAATAAAAGATTGACTTTAGCTTTTCCCTGAGTATTAGTTGCCTTTGTTGAATTAAATCTGTTTTTAAAACCTTCAGAACTATGCCAAATCTTTAATTGTAGTAATTGATCATTCAGAAAGATCTGTTGGAATGATGCAGCAATTTATTCATTGATACAACAATGAGGAAGATAAACAAAATACATTGTTAATTGTTGAAAAAGTTTGGTGTGCTTTCAGAACACCTGGAAGACGTCCAAACAAACTTTTTAAAAGTAAATTTATTGAAAACTTATCTTTTCTTGAAAAAAATAAGAAAAGTGGTGAAAATGAACATGAACACAACTGAAATTATTTGCTCTTGAAATTTAATCCAATAACATGAAACTATCATCAAATATTGTAATTTTTTCAATTCAAAATACAAAAATAAAAATATATTTTTTGAAAAAAACTGATACCATGTGTTTACTCAAATATATAGATAAAAATAAACAACCCTGAAAAAAAAAATTTCAAGTTCTTGTAATTAAACTTTCTCCCTGGACCTGTAAAATCAGCAATTATCGAAGATTTTTGAAATTTTTTCTTAAAAAGTGCTTCGGGGGTAAGGATTGAGTGGTCCTGTTAAGCTCAGATTTTTTGGGAGTTATTTTTTAATATTTGCCCCAAATTTAAAGTGTATGTATTTTAGATTTGAAAATTTCCTCCAATTGACTATCTCTAATATACATACATACATGCATACATACATGCATACATTCATACATTCATACATACATACATACATACATACATACATACATACATACATACATACATACATACATACATACATACATACATACATACATACATACATACATACATACATATATACATACATACATATGACACATAAATACATACATTGACTTTTGAAATTAAATTAACTAAAATTAAATTAACTAAATCATCATTAGGTCAATAAGTTTATATTTAGGTAGAAGAAAAAAAAGAAAGGGTGCAAAGCTAAAATGCTAACTATTAATAAGGGCACTTGAAAAGAAACTCATTTTAAGAAAAAATACATATTTTTAATGTAATAAAATAATGATTAAGTTTATATTAGTTTGCCTTTTTACTGTAGATATATAGTTAATTTTTATATAGATTTAAAAGTTTTTTTATAGTTAAAAATTATATAGTTAAAGAGTTAAAAAGAAACTCCACATCAAAACAATTGACTTTAGTTTAATGATTACAATGTACTGAATAATTATGATAGTTTATAGTGTGGTCATTAAGTTTTCTTTAGGACTTATAAATTTGGTATGAGGTTATAAAATCTGGCTCAGATAGTATCTATCAAAGAAAATGATTTTATTTTTATTGGGAAGGGAAGTCTGTGAAAGGTTTTTTTTTTAATGATCGTTATATTTTAAGAAAATTTTAAATTATAAGATCAAATTACTGAAGACAACACCGGTCGCCCCTATTTATTGACTTGCCCCCCCCCCCCACGACACTAAACCTCAATCTGCCACTGTTTGAGTCAAGTTCTTTAACAAATTTAAAAATGACTTACGTATCAAAAAGTATATACGCAAAAAACCATTGTTATCAACAAATTCTCTAAATCTATCATTCACTAATATTTGTGGTCTTCAAAGTTATTTTTCTTCTGTCTTATCTCTTGCAAAGTTCACCAGACTTACTTGCACTTTGTGAGACTAATTTAAGTTCAGCTGTCTTATCTTGTGATCTTAGTGTTAATGGTTATCTTCTTTTAATTCATAAAGACGCCAATAGTCACATGTTAGGCCTGGGCATTTATGTTCGTAAGAATAAAGAATTCGTACAAATTACAATTCGTAAAAATAAAAATCACTCATTTGTAGGTAAACTAGGTTTAAATCCACAGACTATTCTTTAATGTGCTTTCATTTAGTACCACTTCACTCTATTGCCTTTCTTTCTCTCTTTATCCTTCAG